CTCTCTGGCTAATTTTTTATCTCAGAGTTCAGTGAAAATGGACTTCAGGGACTTTAGAGAATAGGCTCTTAGGCACAGGCTCCTCATGTCATGATGTAAGCCCTTTTCAGTCCATGAAAGCGATCTGCTTAAGAACAGGGGTTACAAGCAGGGACACATGGATCTCCCTGGGAAAGGGAAATAGAAGAGATCTCCTAGGTGGACTAGGGGCAGGTGGGATGGGAACTTGAGGGATTGGGTTGGGGGTGGATGAAGGGTAAGAGTACTGAAAGAGATGACTGCAAAGGTCAGGTAGAAACCTGATGCAAAGGAAATTCCCACAAGTCTACAAGAATGGCCCCAGCTATGATTCCTAGCAATAATTGATACATGGTCTGAACTGGCTATCTCCTGTGATCAGACTGGTGACTACCCCAATTGTCACCAGCAAGCCTTCATCCAGCAACTGATGGAAAACATATGTAGAGATCCACAGCCAAACACTGGGTCAAGCTAAGGGAATCATGCTGAAGAGAGGAAGAAGGATTATAGGAGACAGAGGGGTCAAGGCCATCACAAGTAAACCAACAGAAACAACTAACCTGACTCATAGGTGCTCACAGAGGCTAAACTAACAACCAAAGAGCCTGAATGGGGCAGACCTATGCCCTCTACATACATGTGACTGTTGTGTAGTTTGATCTACTTGAACTCCTAGCACTGGGAGCAGGGGCTGTCCCTGATGCTTTGTCTGGCGCTTGGGAACCTATTCCTCATAATGAGTAGCCTTGCCCAGTCTTAATACAAGGAGAGATATTTAGTTTTAATGCAATATGACAAGCTTTATGACAAGCTTTATGGATACCCATGGGAGGCCTGCCCCTTTCTGAACAGATACAGAGGAGGAATGGATTGAGAGGGTTGGGAGACAGGAAGAGAACACGGTGGGGGCACTACAGTTGGGATATAAAATTAATTAATTAATTAAATTAATTGATTAAAGAATGACAAAGAAAAAAGAACAGAGCTGGAGACATGACTCAGAGGTTAAGAGCACTTCCAGAGCATCAGGTTCAGTTCCTGAAACCCATGGGGCAGATCACAACCAGTTGTTACTCCAATTCCAGGGGATCTGACACCCTTTTCTCACCTCCAGGAGCAATGTACACGTGTGGTATACAGGCATACATGTAGGCAAAACACTCCTATACATAAAATATTTTTTTAAATTACAGAAGAGTTAATACTGGAGCATTAGTACCATATCTAGTAGAATAAGATTTTAGTTAACAAAGCCCAACTCAGTCCATGTTTTCCTAAACTGAATGGCCTATGAGAGGTACAAGTTGGTGTTTTTGAAAATAAGTTGTTGAGTATGTTCCTAGACCCTAGTATCTGAGGGCTAAGCAGCTTCACTTGTCTAGACGAGATCATATACTTTATCATAAGGCTCCTTTCAGGGCAAAGTCTAGGAAAAAGCCTCAAGAACAGGTAGGAACTGAACTCTTATAATCACTTTGCTGCCCATTAACTATGTAAAAATAAAGAAAAAACCTTCAATGAACTGTTTACCTCCTCAGGGATGTGATGGCTTCAGAGAAGCCTGCTCTACACTGCAGAGGTAAGAAAAGTACCCTGCCTCGCTAGAACTCCCACTTATGAAAGAGCCTAACAGGTTTTGTCTTCCCAGAAAGCATATAAAAGCTATTGCTAGAGTGGTCAGAGAGGATGAAGGTCCATCTAAAGCGGGCATCTGAATTTGTGAATGGCAACCATTTGGTACTTACTGGCTTTGGAGGCATGAAAGACACAAAAGTGAAGGGGTCATGGAATCTTCCTCCATGGTTTTAGAGAGTTGCTGAGGCTAGCCAAAGTATGGACGGACTGGAGTCACTACAAAAAGGCAATAGGCTGGGAGACCCTTAAAGGCCACTGCATGAAGCTGTGAAGGTACTGCCTGGGTTTCAGTGAAGATCCAAAGGTGCTGGAGATGCCAGAGGCATGAGACATCTGCCAATGAGAGTGGCATACAGGGAGAGGAATCAACCTAGGCAACAAAGCCCACTTAAGCCCTTTGAAAACAAAGCCTTAGACATCAGACATGGACCTACAGGATTTGCTATTTGCCCTGTCTAGTTCTGATCTTGCTGTGATCCAGTATTTCCTCACTATGCCCCAAATACACTCTTTCTTCCTTAAGTTGGTCATGGTACTTTATTACAGCAACAAAAAGCAACCAATGTAAGAGGTATCTAAGCATCTGCTATGTTTTTCATGGGCCCCATGTTTCCTATGAAACCTTTTGGTACAGCTGAGTACAATGTATAAAGGGAGGTCAGTATCCTTGCTGACTGACTCTACAAAGTCTCTTGATGCTGCAAAGACTTTGCTTAGTCAGGGCTGAATCAAATCCAACATTCAAAATCATCCCCAGAAAAGAAGCCAAGTGTCAGAGAGACTAGGAAGGCTGCACTCTTTTTTTTATTAAAAACAATCTTATTTTACATACCTATCCCAGTTCCCTCTCCCTCCCATTCTCCCATTCCCCCCATCATCTCCCTATTCCCACCACCATCCACTCCTCAGAGAGGGTGAGGCCTCCCATGGGGAGTCACCAACGTCTGTCACATCATTTGGAGCAGGACCTAGGCCCTCCTCCATGTATCTAACCTGAGAAAGTATCCCTCCATTTGGAATGGGCTCCAAAAGCCCATTCATGTACTAGGGATAAATACTGGTTCCACTGCCAGCATCCCCATAAACTTCCCAGGCCTCCTAACTGTCCCCGAAGTTCAGGAGGCCTGGTTCAGTCCTATGCAGGTTTCCCAGCTCAGTCTGAAGTCTCTGAGCTCCCACTTGCTCAGGTCAGCTGTTTCTCTGGGGTTCTCCAGTCTGGTCTTAACCCCTTTGCTCATCACTCCTCCCTCTCTGCAACTGGATTCCAGAGTTCAGCTCAGTGTTTAGCTGTGCATGTCTGCTTCTGCTTCCATCAGCTACTGGATGAAGTTTCTAGGATGGCATTTTAGGTAGTCATCAGTCTCATTATAGGAGAAGGGCATTTAAGGTAGCCTCTCCACTATCACTTAGATCCATAGCTATACTCTTATACTACTTCATGGACTGTAAAGTGATGATCTGACTGACTACATGTTTAATCCATCTACTATAGCTCCTTTTATACTAAGTTAATCCAACTGTCATGCTGTTCTGTTAATTAACCAGGAGGCCATGTTTTAGATTACAATAAGCCACAATCATAAGGCAAATAAACAGCTTTTAAAAGTCAGACAACTATCTAACCACCCTAATACTCTAGGTCGGAGCACTAGGCTGGCTTTATACCAAAAAAATTCTTTGAGAACAGAGTTCTGAATATAATGATTACTGTCACTGAAGGCCACTGAACTAGAAGAAATTCAGAACCTCTGGATACAGAGATACTTAACTGCAAAGACAGGAGGGACAAAGAATGCCGTCCAGCCACCTGAGGTTGCTGGGGGAGAGGGAGGGTTGCAATAGGAATGAGCAGGGAGGATGAACTAAGTTCACAGAGTGCTCCAACACCGATGGAAGGAAACTACTTGGGGTAGAATGGTACAAGTGAGAGCAGGGAGAATGGAAAAGAGGATCTGGGGAAATCAAGAAAAAATAAGCTATATTTGAAAATGTCATAATGAAACTTAATACTTGCAAGTCAATTTAAAAATTAAAAAATAAATTGGCATTTTACACGCAGTTTAAAAAAGAAAGAAAAGTGTGTTTCATAGTTCTCCATGGAACCATGAATGTGTGTGGTAGAAATCTTGGGAATGGGGTTTCAACATATACAAATATCATTGGGGATTATGAGGCAAAAAACTGTCTTGGATTTTTGCAAGCACATCTTCCAGAGCCACAAGCACAATTCTGGCACATTCTGTAAATGCATCAAGGCCAAGTCATATTTTTCTACTTCTAATAAACCAGGTATAGGGAGCCACCAGGAAGAAGGAGCAAAGGAGACCAGAGCCTTCCCAATGGACCCACCTCTATCTGTCATTATCCTCTGCACAGTACTTTCCTATGCCATCCCTTGGACAGTAGAGGGTGGCAGTCATAGCTAGTAGCTCCAATATCCAACAGTCACCTGAGCACCAGGCACAGCTAGCTGCTCTTTGGAAAAGTAGGCTGAGCATATGGGAACAGGAAAGGACACAGATGGAGCTATTTATAGAACACCAAAGAGGGGAAATTCTCATCTTCCAAGCTACACCTAAAGAAGTCACTGCCCAGGGAAAACATGGAATGTCCGAGATCACATGGAAAGAAATTGGCGCACTGGGACTGGAAACTAAAGTCTTCTGATTCTGTTGTGAAAGCTGACTGGACAGCCTCTGAGATGTTCCGTCTGAAAGACCAGCATCAGCAGAGGGGGCCTTCCAGGACCTGATGTACAGTGAAAATTTCAAATGTGGACACTGACAGTCAGGGGCATAGATTGTTGGCACACTTGATTTGGGTCCCAGTGCTAAGCACAAGCAGCAGTTGAGAGTATTAATAAGAATCCCATACCCTAGCCAGGCAATGGTGGCACACGCCTTTAATCCCAGCACTCAGAAGGCAGAGGCAGGCGGATCTCTGTGAATTTGAGACCAGCCTGGTCTACAAGAGCTAGTTCCAGGACAGCCTCCAAAGCCACAGAGAAACCCTATCTTGACCCCCCCCTCAAAAAAAAAGAATTCCATTCCCTTTCTTTGAAACGTCAGGGACAGAATTTATGCACAACATATACAAACTCTTCAAACACAGCTCAGTGTCTGATGGTTCTGCACCGCTTTATGACATAACCACCACTGATAATCCAGGGCCTCCCACTGAGAAGAACCCTGCCTACACAGTTCCCATTCGAAATTTCCCCTGGAAATCAAATCCCCCATGCTGATCACAGCTCCAAACCCACCGCCACCCTGCTGGGTGTTTCTCTAGCTCAAATCAACGAACCAAAAAGAGTCAGACGAACCAAAAGGAGTCAGAACCACTGGTTTCAGTTTAGATGCTTTAATAGCATGTAGTACACTAGAACAGGTTGAGGCTGAAGAGACTGGTGGACCCTCCAGTCCCTGAGACCCAGGCCCCATCAGTTGTCACTGTCTTCTGATGTCTCATCAATCCCAGAGTTCCTGGTGTCCTCTTTGAAGAGTTCCTGGAGGTGCTCGTTGTTCTGCACCACTCGATACAGGTGTTCTGGGGTGATGCGCTTCCTGCCGTTGGTGTGGGCCTCCTCGCCAGCCAACTCGAGAATGTTGGACGTCAGATACTCGAGTACACCGGCAAGGAACACTGGCGTAGAAGAGCTCAGGCGTCGGGAATAGTTCCCCTCCCGCAGGAAACGGTCTACCCGGCTGACGGGAAACTGAAGCTCGGCTCTTGCAGATCGCGTAATGTTCCTTCTTCGTTTTTTCCCGGCCATGGCGCCTATTTGATGGGTTTGGCGCAGCTTTTCCTCTCTTCTGGCCTGGATCTCTCAAAATGATCAATCCTCTTAACTGCCCATGTATTTATCTTTGCTCCACAGGAGAGGACTTTGTTACAACATAGACTTTATGATGTCACTGGTGTCCACTGAGCTGTGGTACTCAGTGAAGAAATGCCCATATTAGGAAATTTCTTACCTTAGTGAATACATCCTGTTTTTCCCTTTCCCATTTTCATGTCTGTGTTGTGCATATACATGTGTGCATATTGCCTGTGTGTTCCTGTGTGTGTGTGTGTGTGTGTGTGTGTGTGTGTGTGTGTGTGTGTGTGTGTGTGTGTGTGGCCTTAAGTTGATATCTGGAATCATCCTTGATCACTCTTCTATCTTATTTACCAAGACAATATCTCTCAGTCCAAGCCAGAGTTCACCAATACAGACAGTGATAATAGCCACCTTGCTTGAGAGATCCTGCGTTAGCATTTCACAGCTGGAATTACAGGCAAGCCACCAAGTCCACCTGGTTATATCCTCTTTTTATGGGAGGGTACATTTTCTATTTGATTTTTGTATTCTGACAAGATCTATGTGTCAATGGAAAACTTCTGCCCATGAGATACAACTCCAAGTTATGCATCAGGCTTAGTTTTGCCTCAATTTACATATTCACCTCAGTATGCTTAATCAGTGTTCCTGTTTTTATTTTTTGCTCTTCTTTGAACTGCTCATCACATTTGCCGCTTACCATCTGCCGGATATTTACATGTTAAGTATCGAGCAGGTGTCACATCTCTTTGAGGAATTGGATTGTACCATTTTAGACAATCTTACCTACCCATTTTGGAGCACATGCACACATATACTTAACTGACTTACTTTACACTACATACTCTACAGCCATTTCAAGTTCAGTGACAGAAATGTACTCCCATGCCTACCCTCTTCAGTACTTCACATGACTCCCATATATCAACAGAACACTTTTCACATTTTATTTTTACCATATATTAATTGTATAAACTAATGGGTTTTGTTATGATATTTCCATCCATACACATAAAGTACTTCTTTGATCACAGCTTTTAACATTTATTTCTTGGAGAACGTGAACGTTATGGCATGCATGAGTGAGGGAGGGAACGACTTGCAGGAATTGGTTTTCTCTTTCCTCTATGTGGCGTCACTGATTGTAGAGACAAGTGCTCTTAACAGTTCTGGCACAATGTTCTTTTTGACTCTGCTTTTACTATTTTGTTTTCTTGATTTCTAGTTTAGTGTTGCTGTTTTATTTCCTATCCCTTTACAGTAGATAAGTTATTCTCCATTGTTAACAACAGCAACTAACAGTTTTCTGATTTTGTTTTATTTCTTATTACAATAAAGTTTACATAACATAAAATGTACCATCTTAGCCAATTATAAACTTTGATGTCCACTTGCAATGTTATGAAACTATTAGCATCCCACCATGGTCCCTGCCTATACTATTCCCGTAGAAACTGCTTCCTACAAATCAGATTGAAATGCGCTTATAGCTCTCATACTTCCAAGCCTTTACAGAGGAGCTTTGGGGTATTATGAGATCTGATGGCCCAGTCTGCTCTCAAACTCTTATATAGACATGAATGATCTTGAACTTCTGATACTCTTGCCTCCACCTTCCAAATGATGAATTATAGGTTTGAGTTACCATATCTGATTTATTCTGTGTCAGTGCAGGGATCAAACTCAGAGATGCAGGCATGTGAGGCAAGCAGTCTAGCAACTAAACCACATTCAAGACCCCCACCGCTTTTTGAGAGAGCATATCTGTCACATATAGCAGGCTGGCACCAAGAAACCTTAGACTACTGATCTCCCTGCCGCTAGTGCTGTAATAGCAGTGTGTACCACCACACTTGGCTTGTGTTGTTCTGGGGACTGAACCCAGGGTTTCATATATAATAAGTAAACATGCTACCAACTGAGCTATGATAAATTCCTAGCCCTTTTTGTGTTTCTTCTGTTCCTTTGTCTTTCTTCTTCTATGGCACTGAAAACCAAACTGAAGGCCATATGCATGCTAGGTAAGTACTCTCTACTGACCCACATCCCTAGTCCTAACATCCATTGAAAACAGACTTATCTCCCTTTACACACTCATTTAAATATTCCTTCTTATATCCCCATGTCTGCTCAGTGTCTATCCTTTGAGGTAATTTTAACATCTTTTTCTCTCATGATCTAAATAGAATCTTTAAATATGCTCATTTTGTGAAAATTTAAAATCTTAAAAAAAAACATGCCACAGAAACCTGCTCTTTGTCCAGAGAGCTTCCATGACTATAATTGTAGCAAGGGCCTGGAAACAGTCTTGGAACCTCCCCTGCTTCACCCTTCATATGTAATAAATGTCACTCCTTTTCCATACCTTTAATACTGTTCCAAGAATTCATTCTGACTATTTTATTCTAACACATTAGCACTGTCACCTCACGAATTCTAGCAGCCCACTTACTGTCCTTCCTATTCCTTCCCTTACTGTCTTGCAATTCATTTCCCAGAGTAGTCATTTTCTAACACTACATGTGCTTAGGACCCTGCATTGCTTAAAGTCATCAGTGGCTTCCCACTGCATGTATATTATCATTTTAAATCCTAAGATGTTCTATACTGCTTTTCCTTCATCTAGCATCTCTGCCTCATTGGCCATTTTAAAATAAAAGTCTATGTTCTAGAAAACTTTGACTCATTTCCAAGATTGGTTAGAATCCACACAGTCTCCTTAACTTTTACTTTGCACAATTTATCAGAAGTAAAATAAATACATGATTAATTATTTATTTCATGTCTGTCATTTTCTTCCAAGGCGAAAGGAGCCTGTCCATTAACACTTTATCCTCAGAGACAAGCACAGAGACTAGAGCACAGAGCATACTCAATAAATCATCACTGCATCCATGAATGAGACCACACAAATCTAATGTTAGCTCACAGTTCCTCTAGTAGACTGTAGGTATGCTTTCCCTCTTCAGCACCATGAGAAACATCCTCTACCTCACAGGGCACCATGAGAAACAAATGCTATGAGGTTCATCACAGTACCTGGCATAAAATACGTGTTCACAGAACAATTGTTACAGACTATAGCAGACTAGAAAAGGGTACTCTCAAGCCTGGTAAGGCAAATGGTAAGCTGTCTGGACCTTCCCAGAGCAGAGCAGAGCAATCTTAGAATTCTAACCTAGGTTTAAGACCAACATATCCTCCAACATCTGAGGGACTTGATCATGCTTCTGCTGAAAATTGACTAAACTGAGGGAATCGAAGGATGGCCACCTTACCCAAGATGAAAGATCACAGGAACGGTATCTGTTATCTGTTAACTATATGAAAACTTTCTAATAGTACATAATGTTATTTACATGAAATAGGCAAAACAAACAAATCCACAGAAACTGCAAGAAGATCCATGGTTGCTAAGGGCTAGAAAGCAAGGAAACTAGTGACTGATAATGTGTGGGTTTTTTTCTTGATATGATGAAAATGTTCTTAATTTTACAATCTAAAATGATAGGTAACAGTTATCTTGGTGCAACACTGTAAATATACTAAAACTATTACGTTTGTTCTACAAATTAAACTGCAAAAATAGAGAAAACAACCCTCCAGTTATTTAGCTGGCACCATGATTCCTAAGTCAAGGTCACAAAAGATGACACAGTTTCACACTTGGAAGCAGTATCATGCTGTGAGGATAGCCAAACTCTCCCCACATGGAAAAGAAGTGAGACTCTAAGAACTCAATGATGAATCTTTGATGAATTCTAGCTTCCACATATTTGAGCCGCCTCAGCTGCTCTGCACTAGAGCACAATTGAGCTTTTCTTTTTGAGCCCTGGCCAAAATACAGATTCATGAGCCCCCCCCAACGTTATCAATTTAACTCACTGTAATTTTAGGTTAGCGAACAGAACATAGAATCAGGACGAATGAACATATAAATGGACTTGACCTGAATACAAACTGTTTTGCTTCTCAGTTTGAATCTCAAATGTAAGCAGAAATGTTTTAAAAATCATGCATACATACATCTTCCAGTAGTGATGCTCTGCTGTAGGACAGTAATATACAGCTGCAGGGTCAGTTGTGGGGCAGAGCCTAGGAAAGCCTGGATCACGGATGCCCGACTGAAGGCAGAGCGGTGAGTAAACATCTTGCCTTCCGCCTGGCCCACCTCCCTCTCGACCTCCTCTGTAAGGCCATCTTTTGGCATCTGCCGTTTCTTGGTGATGCTCACATAAGGCTCTTCGTTCTGGCTGGACTGACAGTAGAGGCAAAACACTTCAAAACATCTAGAAACAAATTAACGAGTCACAGAATTAGTGACTGGCAGAACTCTGTCCTTTTGCAGTCATCCTGTTTTCACTTAGCCTGATTCTCAAACCCTTGCCCGGCTAGTCTACATCATTCACTCTCAGGATCAGTTCTAAGGAGTCAGTCTTCTACAAGGACTGCAGTAGGCCATTGGGAATTGAGTGAGAATCAAGCAAAGGTGACAGTGAAAGCTATCAAAGCAAAGAAAACAGGAGAATGGGAAGTAGCTGACACTCTAGAGCCACAGAAAAATGTTTAGTTTTCCTTCTTGACAGCCATAATTAAAGCCCTTACATTCTGAACTTTCCCCCTCAGTACTACAATAGAGAAAAATACCTGTTTTTTCATCCTGCTGTAAAAGAGGACTAAAGGAAGTAAGGCTGTGTGTGTGTGTGTATGTGTGTGTGTGTGTGTGTGTGTGTGTAAACGTTCCACATAAAACTGATGCCACAAACCACCCCACTTAAAAAAAGTGCAGGCTTACTCCTATAATCTCAGCACTCTCTAGATTCTACAGTCTTGAGGCTGGGGCAGAATGATTGTCAAAGAGTTCAAGATCAGCCTCGGCTACACAGTGAGCAGATGATCCTGGACTACAGTAAGGCTGAGAGGTGGTGGAGGGAGGGAGGGAGAGAGGGAGGAAGGGAGGGAGGGAGGAAGGGAGGGAGGGAGGGAGCAAACATAAAGATGAATAAAGTTGGGTAAGTATACAGAACAGAGTTGCTTGCCATATAGAATTTCATTGGAAGACCACAACATATTACTTATTTCTTTATCCTAATAAGCCCATATAGGCCATGGCTAAATTCAAACATGCCAGAGCTTGGCAAATGTCTTATTTAAGTACTCTCAAGTCTGCTCTAGGGACACATCCTTAACTGATAACTAAAATGTTTCTCTCTAGATGCTATTACAAATAGATACTGATAGAAAGAAAAATTACTGGCACCTATGATTTGCTTTGAAGCATACATACATACACACAGGGAGACACACACACACACATAGATGGGGAGACAGGGAAAGAGAGATTGAGAATGAGTTGGTGGATGGAGAGATAGAAAGATACATGAAACAAAATGTTAATTATACAATCTAGGTTGTAGATACTTAGGTGTATAATTCACTAAGATTTTCTTCTGTGTGTTTGAAAACTTAAATAATAAAGTGCTAAGAAAAACAGATTTCTGAGCTAAAACAGGCACTTTCAGAACAACCTTACAATGCTGCTAGATTTTGCGGTTTCATTGGGTTTATTGAATGTTGTTAACTTTACAATATCACCTGGAGTTATCTATGACAACCTAAGTACATTTATAATTAGGAATAGTAAAATAAGGCCTTCTTTCTGAGCACAAAGTGGACATATTTCATGATTATTACCTTTGTTCACTTATTTCAAGGGGACATGTTCTACTGTCTTGTAGTACACATTTAATCAGAGATGCTTGACATGGTAATGTTGTCTAGTTTGTTTGGAAGAAATGAGAACACTTAAGTTTAGTTCATGAATTCAAGCCCACTTTCTCCAAGATTTAAACCTTTGACTGATGAATGAACAGTCCTTAAAACTGTTGGGCTATCGAAAGTGGCAAGGTGTAGAAAATAGAACAAAATGGTCATGGTGTCTATTCTCAAAGAGGTGAAAACAGCAGATGTACTTTATACTAAGATAGCCTGAAGACTTCTACTTTATTCATTCAGAGGTGCTTACCATCTAGATGGGATCAATGAGGCCTACACAGAAGAGGTATAATATGTAACAGAACAATATTTATGCTGTACTTTTGGTTCCCATGATAGTTTCTGATTCACCAGCTCACAAAGAAATCTTACTGGGATGGAGAGATGGCTCAGCAGTTAAGAGCACTGACTGCTCTTCCAGAGGTCCTGAGTTCAATTCCCAGCAACCACATGGTGGCTCACAACCATCTATAATAGGATTGGATACCCTCCTCTGACCTTCATGTACCCATGCAGAGCACTCATACATAAAAACATAAACAAATAAAAATTTAAAGAAAGAAGCAAGTCTCCAAAACATCAAAGGACCCAATTAAAAAGTGGACTGCAGAACTAAATAGAGAGTTTTCAATAGAGGAGTCTAAAATGGCTGAGAGGCACTTGAGAAAGTGCTCAACATCCTTAGCCATTCGGGAAATGCAAATCAAAACAACTCTGAGATACCATCTCACTCCTGTCAGAATGGCTAAAATCAAAAACACCAATGACAATTTATGCTGGAGAGGATGTGGTGAAAGGGGGACACTCCTCCATTGCTGGTGGGAGTGCCAACTGGTTCAGCCACTTTGGAAATCAGTATGGAGATTCCTCAGAAAAATGGGAATAAACCTACCACAAGACCCAGCAACTCCACTCTTAGGCATATATCCAAAAGATGCCCATTCATACAACAAAGATGTCTGTTCCACTATGTTCATAGCAGCTTTATTTGTAATAGCCAGAACTTGGAAGCAACCTAGATGTCCCTCACCCGAAGAGTGGATAGAGAAAATGTGGTACATCTACACAATGGAGTACTATTCAGCAGAAAAAAATAATGGAATCATGAGATTCGCAGGCAAATGGATGACACTAGAAGAAACCATTCTGAGTGAGGTAACCCAGTCACAAAAAGAGAAACATGGCATGCACTCTCTCATATATGGATTTTAGACATAGATCTGGGGAGTGCCAGCCTACAATCCTATGGCCAGAGAGTCTGGGAAACAGAAACTTCATTTAGTGGCTGATCGAAGAAGAGGCAGACTCCCTTGGTTAAGTACTGAGCTGAACTCAAGAAAGCCAGTAACAGAGAGGGAGGACTGATGATCAAAGGGATTAAGACTGGGCTGGTTTAACCCCCAGAAACAGCTGACCAGACAAAGGTTAACTCTTGAATCCCAGGCATCAGCCTGGGAATCCAGCATGGGACTGATCAAGACCCCCTGAATCTGGGTGTCAGTGAGGAGGCCTAGGGAATCTATTGAGCCTTGGGCAGCAGATCAGTACCCATCCCAAGTATACACACGGACTTTGGACTCCCATAGAACAATGTGAGGTGCACTCTTACCCTGAACTCTTGGGGAAGGGTCTAGGCCCTGCCCTATATGAAATGACAGACTATGGACACCCCCATGGAGGGCCTCACCCTCCCTGGGGGAATGAGGGGATAACGGGGGGGGGGAGGGGAGAGGTTGGGGGGAGGGCACGGGAGGAGGGAAGGGAAAGGGAGAGGGACCTGGAACTGACTTGTGAAGCAACCTTGTTTCTTATCTAAATTTAAACTGGAAAATAAAATAAAATAAAAAGAATTTAAACAAGCTTCATTTTTAATAGCAAAATAATAAGATGTCCCATTATTTTATTGTAGAGGTCCTCAAAATGAGAGGATCATTAAATATATCAAAGCACATCCACTCAATTAAATACTATGTAGTTCTCAAAACTGACAGTTTAGGAAACATCTAATAACATAAGACTTTGGGTTGGTCAGATGGCTTAGTGGGTAAAGGTGCTTGGTGTGAAACCTGAACAATTGAGTTTAAACCCTAGGTCTCTCTCAAGAGGTGAAAAAAGAGAAAACTAACTCTCCCAAGTTGTCCTCTGACCTCCACACATGTCCCAAGACATGTGTACATGTACACAAACACAGATGCACAAATATACAATCAATCAAATTTTTAAAAATTTAATTAAAATCCCAGGATTAGAATATAGCATGTGTTAGGCCCTGAATTCAATCCCTAGCACATCTAGTTAATTAAAATAAAAATATATTTATCATATTTGATAAAATATTTTATCATATTTGATAAGGGAAAATATTTGAGAGAAAACTTCACACATTTAAATGTATGCACACTACATAAATGTACATATACACAAAAACAGTGGAATGACAGAATTGAAGTATAGTTTCTCAAAAGTGCCAAAAACAGTGGAATGACAGAATTGAAGTATAGTTTCTCAAAAGTGCCAATTGCTAAATAGAAATTTTGTAAACAAGTTGTTGAACAACTAGTACCCTGGTCAGACTTGATGGGGATAAATACATTTTGGAAATTAGCAACCTGTTGAAACTTGAGTTCATTTTCCCTAACAGTTTACAATCATAACCCCATATACATACTAGTAAGGATATAAAACAAAAGCATTAAGAATTATTCTCTGGTGCTGGGCACATGTCTTTAATGCCTGGTCTACAAAGCAAGTTCCAGGACAGCCAAGGTTACAAAGGGAAACCCTGTCTTGAAAAACCAAAAAAAGACTTCTCTTTAAGCAGTAGAATTAAAGGCTTTAATTTTCTTCACTGTGCAAATATATTTTCTGTTTCTTTGTTATTTTAACAGATAGTCTTAACTTGTGTATTTTAACAGATATTTAGAACTTGTGATGTAAGGGAGGAGGGGCAGGAGAGGGAGCTGGGACTGACATGTGAAACATTCAAGTTTCTAATTTAAATAAAAACATATATTGAGAAATAATAAAATAAATAAAGGCCACAATTAAAATAAAAAAAAGTCAAACTTAGAGCCTTTAAAGACCAAAGTGAACAAACAAAAAAGGCAGAGCCTGCTAAAAGCTGCTCTATGAAATGAATGAATAAGATAAGGGTTTGTAGAGGAATGCAATTCTATCGATGCTTGAGAGGACTATGTGAAACAGGGATCATTTATAGATTTTTTTAATGAAACTGCAGAGATTGACCATGCAAATGAAAATAATTTTCACAAAAAAACAGTGGCACAGGTAGTTCCAATGGTGGTGCCTCTCACAATCCACTGCTCTTCCCAAGTGACACATTTGTCTATTTTCCCCTTTGAGACAGGGTTTCCCTATGTAGTGTTGACTGTCTTGGAACTCACTCTGTAGACCAGGCTGGCTTCAAACTCACAGCCTCTGCCTCCCGAGCACTGGGATTAAAGTCGTGGACCACTGTACCTGGCATATCTTAACAAAACTTCAAACACCATATTTCATACATTTGAGGACTATCCCAAGAGCTCTTACTACCACTAAGTAGCAAAGTAAGAAACAAGCCACTACTGTTTCTTAAAATTCTGCCAAGACTTATCCAATTATTCCAATTTTGTTTTGAGAGTTTTAATTATTGTTTCTCTGCATGAGCTGCTTGAATAAAATGACCCATGGTAAGGGCTAAGGATGTAGATCAGTGGTAAAGGTCCAGCATCCTTCATAAAAATTATTCAAGGAAGTTCTTCAATATCACATACTCCATGGCGCAGGAAGCTTTTGTGTAATTAGTATTTGTAAGTATTTAGGCTGTACAGGTCCTCAGGGTCTCTGCTCAACTCTGCCTCTGCAGACAAATACAAAGACTATACAAAGGAATGGCTATAGTTGTATTCTGATAAAACTTTATTTATAGAAACAGGTGGTGGCATGATTTGGCCATGGGAGCATAATCTGCAGACCCCATGATGATCACTACTGTAGATACTTAGTACTCTGATTCCACTTTTTTCCACTTAGATATATTTCTCAAGCATAATATAATTCTCTTGTCAACTATAACAACAGTTTGTTCTCTAGGTAAAACTAGACATGTTGATGGCAGCGCAAGTAACTCGAGGAACCAAGAATCCTAATGAAAATACTTTTTCCACAGAAATACTATGATTTCCTATAAGCCATATTATGTTCATATGCTCTGAGAAGCTACATCATAGAGCTATGTTGGCTAAATAGAAAAATATTGTGAAACCTTTGACAAGCCACTTGCTTACTCACCTGAGTCTCAATGGTTGAACTGTAGAAATAAGACACAGTGTCAGTTGGTTCAAAGGGTTTTACTATAGTTGGAATTAAATGATGTATGTACTTTGCAAAGGAAACAAATACTTTTCAAATGTGGACTGTTATTATTTAAAATTATTTCTAAGTTCTCTATAGAGAAATATTAATATGAATCAATTTACAATGTTCTATAACAATTTCAGTGTTTTAACCTACATCTTATAAACCTAGATTTTTTTCACCTCTCATTTTGTGCTAGTAATAAAAGTGGGACATTTGTCACTCATTTATATTTACTCCTCTCAATTAATTTATGAAAGCTAACATAACTGGGAGAGTAATAGGAAACAAAGGGTAAAAGATAGTCTCCCTTCTCTTTTTCCAGAATAGCTAGCATAACTTTAAGATTTTCCTTCAAATTGGAAAAAAGGTAATCCAAGACACTATCCAAAGTTCACATTAGAACGAACCATAGAAACGGTAGCTATAAAGAGTTCTACCAATGCCTCCCTGAAGGAAAAAGGGGACAGAAGTGAGCTAACAGCTTTAGCCCATAAACATTAGTGTTAGGTATTGCAGATCTCCATTTTCCCCATACTGAGGATCTGACATAGCACTTCAAGCTAATAAATATTAAGGCAAGCACTATACAGTATGTCACTTTAACTGGGTCATTATATTGTATGAACTCAAAAGCAGCATCTACCTAAAAGTGGTAGTTTGGCTCCCCTAACTTGAGTAGAAGTAAACTGTCCTCACAGACTATGGACACCCCCATGGAGGGCCTCACCCTCCCTGGGGAAATGAGGGGATATTGGGGAGGTTGGGGGGAGCGCACGGGAGGAGGGGAGGGAAACAGAGAGGGACCTGTAACTGAGTTGTGAAACAACCTTGTTTCTAATCTAAATTTAAATTTAAAAATTAATAATAATAAACCCATTGCTAAGGGGTAAACGGGAGAAATTACTGTGATTCCCGTGTTTGGGAGAATACTTTGCTCTTTCTGAAAAAACGATAATTTAAGAGTTCAAATTAGAACCAGTCATTAGGAAGAAATCCCAATAAGGTTTTTTTAAAGTCCCGTTAACCAAAAATTAACAAATTTCCCTTTCATTTGGAAGCTAAGGATCTTGAAACTACATTTTGTGTATCTCAGTTGAAAGATCATGGGTCGAGTACTACCTTGACATAAATCAGCTATATCAGAATATGAGTCTCCTTTCCCTAATCGTTTAAAAAGTTACTGTGATAACTGAAAATGACCTAAGAATTTATAATAAAGGAGAAATTTGTTAAATATTCATGTTTAGAAAGAAAAAACTAAACTGCCATTCTGTAACTTTGTACTATTGTTCTTAACATCTTAGTACATTTCCTTGAACTCTAGTTTATAGTTGCTATGCTGTTTTTATATATAATATTCTATTAGCATTTTCTGAAGCAACTCTTAATGTTAAGACACACTTCGAAATGGTAGCAATGGTAGAAAATTCTTACTTGCCTGGTTTCTTTGGTCGTTTATTTTTTTAAACTTGTTCACAAATGATCAAACATTTAAAACCCTAAAATGGAACTGCTGATAAAATGTCCTGCACACTCTATTTTCTTTTACAGAACACAGAGAACATAATGAACCTAATTGCATTTTGGAAGGAAGCCTTGGGAATATGTTCTGGAACCTCATTTGTCCCTTGTATAAAATGGGGACGGGGACTGAGGGAGCCTATAGCAATGGTTTAGTGTACCTAAGGCCCTTGGTTCAACCTCCAGCACCGAAATAATAAATAGGCAAACAAATGCTGTGAGCACAATTTCACCTACTTCATGGCAAGTAGTCACCCAGCTAAGGCATGTAGGTAGAAACCAAACCACTTAGCACAAGTAACTTTTGAGAATTTTCAGTTCCCCAAGTCATTCCACCCAAATGTGAGTTTCCTCCCCACAGGTGACAGTAAATGATGAGTACCTTGTCTAATGTCAAACCTCATTTAGTTTCTTGAGCAGGGACACTAGCTGGGACACAGGGCTTGCTTAAGGACATGGGTTCCCTACTAGCTAACTGATTGCAATGCTTTCTAAGTAAGCACAGCCCCTGTTTTTTCAATTCCTCCTAGACTGTCAGGACATCAGTAGCAGTTTCTCTCTATTAGGAGCATATGTTTCTCCTCCTTTCTAGGATTCCCTGGCTCATGAAGAATGGGAAACCTGTTTAGCGAGTTTTCCATAACTGTGTTAAACTCTAAGTCAGTACAGTAAGCTAAAACGATTGCGTTTAAAACGGCATGCAAAGTATTAATATCGTGAATGTTTTTAATTGAACATAAACTTTTACTTTTGTATTTCCTCTATTAAAAGGTATACATTTAAAATACATTTAAATCCCCTTCAAGTTCTGCGATTAAAAGAGTCTGTTTGCTGTGTATTTCTTCTTGCTTTGTGTTCATAAAGATTAATTTTCAGAGCTAAGGATGTAGCTGGGTAGCAGAGCATTACCTACCCTATGCCAGGCCCTGGCTTCCATCCACAGCACCATGAGCAGCAACAACAACCCTTCCCCCCCCCCGCCCCCACCACCCCAGCAATGTCACAAAGCAAGTTCCTGGCTTCAAGGCACATTTCATGGTTCCATGACTATATTAAAATTTGGGCAGAGTCAGAAGACACCTCTGTACTACGTGTGTTTTCACTAGACAATGTTCATCATACCAAGAGAAAAGTATGTTCATCATACCAAGAGTGCATGCATTTCTAGATGTCTGTATATGACTGAAAGAAATTTAACAAAGCACGTAGAATAAACAGTGCCTGGTTCACAGTTAAGTGCCATGTGTTTGACAAACTAAATTAAATAACCCATAACAGCTCCAACTTGAACTGCGCTTAGAGTAACTTCCAAAGGTTTGTTCCATGACCACACACACCAATCCTGCGGAAGTCCACCTGACCACAGGAAAAGCCACGTATTTTTAGGAAACCGAAAAAGGCAAAGACTACTGCTCTTTTTGGTCAAATTGAAGTAAACTTTGGCAGTTCCATATGCTGGCTCCCTAAATACAGGGCATCTCCGTTTTAGCCACACAGTGAGATCCTGTCCCATTTCGGAGACTGGAATGGTGAGGCTAGGGAAAGCAGGGCGGCTCAGCTCTGGTTCTGGCCACCTGTCCCCTTCAGGAAGGCCTCCTCCCTCAGAGGGGACAGTAGAAGGGGGGACCGCCAGGGGCTGCGGCCTAAGGATTGGTTCTGGGTCCCGCACGCACCTGTACAGGGGCCCGAGCTGGAGCAGGTGCATGAGCAGAACCAGTGGGCGATCGCGGCTTATGTCGCGGTGGACGAAGAGGAGCGTGAACTGCACCAAGGCACAGGGCATCAACGAGAATAACAGCGTCAGCGACTGCCACATGCGGTCCCCGTCTGAGCGGTACGTGCTGCTCAGGTAGAACGCAGCTATGGTCTCGGCCACGAACAGGAACAGGGACGCTAACACCGAGGCCGGGAATTTCATCTCCGCGCCTCAGAGACCCGCCCCGCGGGTGGTGGTGGCGGTGGCGGTGGCGGTGGCGGCGGTTCCCTGAGCGGCTCCCAGCATGCCCGGTCCCGACCCGCTCGCGCACAGCGTAGCCCGCCGAGGGCACGCGGGCCGGCCAAACGGCCCCGCGCTCCTAGTAGCCCGGCCTTGGGGCAAACCGACACACGGGGGTGGGGCGGGAAGCGTGGCCCCGCTCGGACACGCCCACGCGCACCGTGCGCAGCCGCCAGCGCGCGCCACTCGCCGCGGCTCTCCCGAGACTGTTCTGGGCGGGCCGCGAACCGGCGTCTTCTGACACTGCTGCCCAACTAAGCCTGGAGGCTGCCCACCAAGCTGGCCCACGCGCAGCCTCTGGGTCCTAGAGTCCGTTGTTCTTAGCTCTCTTGAGTGGCCTGATAAACTGCAACCAGCAGAAACCAGAATTGGAGGTGGGGGAGTCTGAACTCCTGATCCACCCTCTGGTTTCTGGGCGGAAGAAACACCTAATCACAAGTTCAGGTTTTCCTGCCATCCCAAAATAGCCAGAGGCACTGAAATGCTTTTCTAAGAATAAGGGTCTTGTCAACCTCGCAATATACCGGGAAATACATTTAACTTTTCAGTGAAAGCCTTGAGCATATCCTTTGTCTTTCTAGTACAGAGTAGGAAGGAACATCGATGAAATTGTGGGAGCCAAAGTTTTCGTTTCCAGATAAAACTGCCTACAGAATATATTGCTGTATAACTGTGATTAACTTAAGACTGGTCAAAGACAAGAGCCTAATAAGGAAGCAGTTTCTAGCCCAACACATACCTCTGTTGGTATGCCAACCCTAAGACTAACACAATTCTTTTTCCCTCAACTGTTTATTTTTTAAAATTTAACACAATATATTTTGAACATGCTCTTTGCCCTACCCAACTCCCCCAAACATCCCTACCCACCCAAATTCATGTTCTTATCTCTCTGTCACAAACAAAACAAATAAAAACAAAGCAAAAAAACTCACCTAAAACGAAAAGCAAACAGTAAGACAAAAAAAAAATGTCAAAACCAACAAAACGAAACAAAAGTTCAAATCAAAACAACAACAAAAAACTATAGAGAGTATTTTGAGTTGACCCACCATTCTTGACCACAAAACCTGCTGCTCTGGAGTGGCTTTTATACTCATTGACACTCAATTGGAAAAAACAGAATTTCTCATTCCCAGCACATATCCATTGCAAATATCTTCTTGGTTAGAGATTGGAATTTATGCCTACTTCCTTTTCTCAGTGCTGGGATTTTGTCTGGTTTAACCTGTGCAAGTCCAGTGTATACTCATTGAACTTTGTACAACCTGTATATCAAAATGGACTCACCCCTCAACACACACACACACACACACACACACACACACACACACACACACACACACAGTGCCTCACATTTTCCATGAAGAAATTGGATAATATTTTCAGGCAGCTTGGGCATTTTTCTATTTTGGAAAATGATGTAAATAGAAACAAAATGCTAAGATTCTTAAGATCTTGACAAGAATGAAGATAGAGGGAGAGGACAAGCTGGGTTTTTGACTTGGTTGTTGGAGTGACATGGGAGAATCTATTTATAAGGGTTAAGGGGAGAATTCAGCCAAGGCCTAAGTGAGAAGTACCAGGCCCTTTCTCCAAAAGGATTATGAATGCCTATTTATAGAACCCAGCAGGCCATCATGTCCTGGATCCAGATACACAATCACAAACAGACTCACTAGCAGCACTCCACCAAGTATTTGTGTAGTATTTTATTTGACACCACAGTTAGTTTTAAAGGAAAATTAATGAGCAGCGAAGTAAGAATATTTAATTAGAACACAATAATGATTTCGCATCACATATTAAGGCAAAGGATTATCACAGGTTTTACAATATTAAGTGGACCAGAGCAGGGGTGGGCAATAAGTCAGCGACATCACTGTAATAAACACAATCAAATCCAGTTTATGGCACATTATTTTCTACATTACAAAACTAATACATAAAACACATTGGAAAGATCACAGTGTTTGGATGTTATGGTAGCAGTTAAAAAATAGTAAGGTGCATCACTAAGTTTCTGAGTCACTCTTGCTTCTGAAGAGATTTCATTCCACCATGCAGTGGACTTGGAGCAAACCCCCTCTGTGAAGTTGAAACAAATTTAACTGACAATCGTCTTCTCTGCTCCAGGAATACATAACAAAAGCTAAAATCTGATGAACACTTAGAAGTTGATCTTTCCATATTATCATTTGCCATTTTATCCTTAAGAACATATACATTTACAGCTTAATTTCCCTGCTCTACATTTAAGTGAATTTTCATTAAAAATCAATGTGATATATTGCATTATACTTCCTCACTAACACCAAAATGCCCACTGTGGTCTTTTTAAAAATATGTGTACACAGTAATAGACTTCTAGAAAGTCATGTTTGGGTATAATAATATGCAATATTCCAGAATACTTGATAATTATGTTTCAATATAAAATATCATAGAATAACATTTTGTAATATAGTAAAATGATTAGTAAAATGTTCTGCACTGAGATTAGAACTGCTACTAATATATCTTTCAAACACCTCAAAGTACCCCTAAGGAAATATAATAATGAGCAAGAGAAGTCAAAGAACTTGATTTTGGCAAAAAGGCATTTTTATAAAGCCTCTCAATTGGTGTGTAAATATTTCAAAATTCTTTTTATATACAACAGATAACTGGTATTGAATTTAATGTTAATAAAAATTAAAATGATTTTAAATTACTAATAATGAATTCCTATCATTTGTTTTTTACACTTTTGTTTTACTTATAATTGTGTGGAGAAATACAGCAAAGAGAATAACTTTATTAATAAGACTAATTTATTCAGCAAGTCCTCAATATTCAAGAGTACATTAAACTGTGATGCTTATTTACTCTTAGGTCCAATTAGAAGTAAGCTGTTATACTGTAATGGCCATTTACTGTTTGGGGGTATTGCCCCAAAAGATGGTGGAATTACACTGGTTTGCTGCTTATGAAATATATCATTAGGAAGATGAACTTTTTTTAACCCAATGATGATACTATCACATTTTTGTAAATATTGTGAACTATACAAAAATGAAAACCCTTTTGGTGAAGTAGATTCTACTCACTGTAGTATGTGCTGCATGCTTATGTATGGCTTTTCAGTATGTCTCACTGGTTTCTACAAAACCCATTTTAAAAATTCAGTTAGTTTGGTGCCACTACATCCAAGAGATTAAAATTCGGTCCTGCCTTCCAAGAGCTCCCCAAGCAGTTTCAAGTTGGGAAAGTTCTTACCTTATTAGAGACTGGACTGTCCTTTACCAAATTCTGAGAGCACACTATTACGCATCGAGAGTTCCACTCTTATTCCTGGAACATCTATCTAATTCAAATGATACTGAATTTTCAAGAGCAAAGGGGGGTCTACTGCTGCTACAGTCTTCAGAAGACACCACCATTATTAAAATACTAAAGTCCTAAAAGGCAGAGACAAGACTGATTATCTGCATCAATCTGCTTATTTGAATATATCCACATGTAAGTATTGCTACATTCAACTTGAACCAGGTTCAGTAAAACAGTTCATTTTACAGGTAATTTCCACTTAGACACAGATATTAAAACACCACGGGATAGTATCAGACATCCCACTAAAATAGGTTGGAATACGGTCATTTGCTGAAGACATTAGACAGTAAAGAGTTTTTGTCTTCGTTAAACTGATTGCTAAGTCACAGCCACTTCACACACAAGATTATACACTGAGGAACATATCACGCACACACGAAATATATGAAGAAGAGTTCAGCAGAACTGCATTTTCTATGTGGATGGAATCTATTTACACATACACTGGTGTTTCCCCATCTCCATTCTTTTAGAGTGCTCGTCATTTCTGAAAGCAAGAGGGAGTGTATTGGGGTACTTCAGAAGGATCTATCTATGTTTTTATGTAAGAGCCTAAAGTCATGAGCTAGTGTCGACTTAGTAAGTGGTTATTGTGTAACGAAAGAGCTATCTTACCTTTTCAGTGATCCAAGTACAAAGATAAGTCTGTTCATGTGAGCCATGCAATTCACCAGCCCTCCTTCCACCCCAGTGCAGAACAAAAATATGCAAGATTTGCTTTGCTGTTAAATAACTCTTCAAACTCCATTCAGAATGGATGACCAATGGGACACAAAAGAGAAATGAAGGTGCAGAGAATCCTGCAGAGGAGACACTTTGTCATTTGTGACGGGAACTAGATAGACAGGACAAGGTTCAGTATTTAAAGGTGAAAATGAACAGTCTTTTAAATCTTAACAGCATCATCCATTAGGTCCCAATTCATTAACACTTTCAATTCATAAAATAAGGGGAGAGACTCTGTCTGTGTAAGAACTACTTCAGTTTTTGTCTTTTATGACACTAAAATTAGTATGACCAGTCCCACTTATGGAGTGGAAGCAGGGTAAATGCAGCCACTACCTTATTCTCATTGCACAGGTTCTCTCATAACAGCTTGCCCCGGACTTGTGATCTGACTACAGAATAGTCCCAATTCTGGCTGCCACTGACCTCAAGGTCAGCCCTTCTGTTCAAAGTGGAGTCAAGTCTCATGGAGCCCCATGCTCTTATCTAAGAACAGATGTGGACAAAGATATGGAGGAAGCCTGCCTTCCCATAGAAAAGAAGTCATGTGTGTAAACAGACATAGAAAAAATCAGAATGAGGATATTTAGAGACAGATGATAACACATGCTGAATTTAAGGTGGTTTATGATTACAGAGATTCCAGGAAGAAAAAAAATACTGGTAAGGTATATTTATTCTTAGTGCCATTAAATGTGTGTGTACAAATTGCCACCAGATGCTGAGTTGTGGTAAGCAACCTTCAAGTTCTGTTTCTGTCTTCTTACTTGCTTTTCTAACCAAATTTATGCCAAGATTGCATGACCTTGGTAAATTTGAGGATTAGTCATTTCAGCTTGTAAGTTGAGACATAATAAAGAATTAAAGGATGCCCCACAAGCCACAAAAATTTGTTCCTATAGGTAACACACAACTGGGAATCAAATTAAAGTATGGATCAAAATTAGTGTTAAATTATCCTATTTCCCAATGCATTTTTTGTGATATAGTTATGGCCTGGCTGCCCCTTTTCTTGAGTTATTGGCACCAATAATCCTTTTTTTTCAGTCAGCAAAACAAATATTTGTGTTAAAGAGGGCTTCTATGATACACAGCAGTAGCCTTAGGAGGGAATATGCTTTAACATTAAGAATGTTACTACACATGATCCTGATAGTGAAATAAATGACATGACTTAATTTCCTGCTGAAAATATGTGTCTCTCCTCCTTTCTTGGGAAAATAAGATAGAAGAGGATCCTCCCAAACTGACAGTACTTTTCTTTCAGGAAAATGGTAAATTTCAATGATAGGTTTTGCAGTAAAAAAAAAAAAGAGTGTATCCTTGTTTCAATTTTACTGAGTGGTACTTCAGAAAGACCACACCCAAACATGGCATGATATACAAAAATAGTGACCTTTTCACAATGATCAGCAAAAAGTTACAGTCACTCTATTACATCCTGCAAAGGTAGGCCTATTTTTTCTAAAGCTCCTAGAAATATAACAGATACAACAAATCTATGTGTCATTTCCTAGTCCTTTGGTTTTTTTAGTCTGTATAATGAATGAAAGAAGAGGTGGGCAGATTTTTAAAAGGAGGTACCTTCGAGGGAAGGGGTAATTTGTTTACTGTGGTGCTTGCATATTTCTAATCTGGAATATTGAACACATGAACATGGAAGAAAGGAGAAGCCAGATTTTGATTCCTTGTTTGGTTCCCTCCTAGCTCTAAGTCTTTAGGGACAGTCACCTAACACACATTGAGTGACTGCTCCGACACAATAAAAGCATGTATTCTTTAAATATAAAAGGCCTAATTCTGGATGCGTATTATCTTTAGCCTGTAGGGCCCATGCCAAATGCATTTGAAATATGATGGTGAAGCAGCTGTCGCTGGTCCTTTCAAAAGGAAAACATTCAGTGGACAGGCTCTTCCTTATTGCTTCCCAAAAGGTGTTTGCCCTCCTCAAGAAAGAACTTCTAGAATATAATGAGGTTTTACCTCAAGCAGTATTTTCACAGATGAGCAATTAAAGCCAATTTTATATGCTGAAATCTGAGGGTGTAAAATGGGACCATAAGTCAACAAGGTACATGTTTTGCAAAAATCATTTTTTCCCAGCTTGTGTTGATGATTGTAAACGTACAAAGAGTCATAAACTACAAAAAGACAGTTCTTTTCTTTGGTAAGATTCTTTGAGAATCTTATGAATTCAAGAGGTCTTCTTTTCCAAAATAGGATAACACGTACAACATTCATACAAACCCACACTAATCCATTTGTTCTTACAGCTCCACAAGCCAGCACACACACAAATGTTTCTAGGCAGCAAAGTATTACCTAACTCCTCCCAAAGTCTGTTTAGAGTTCAAATAGTGCTTCAGTTTATAGGGAATAAATGTAGCATATATATACCTGTACCTATGTATATATACATATCCAAATATCTAATGACTACTGAAATAATTACATCTTATACAGCACAACTGTATGCCTTAATGTGATGTTTGAACTTGTATGGTTAAATATCAGGACCACGGTAAACTCATGTTCTTCATATTGGAGTGACAGTTACTATTAGTGTTCAGCAATCCACTACTGATATGAAACATTTTTATAGCTTGTGATTATAGAAGAAGTAAATTTGATATAACTAGAATCAACTGGTATGATAGCCAAGCTCTAACATGTCCTGTGTTTTGCAAGGTAAGGTGATCAGGCAGGGAATTCTTTCCACTCTTAATCTAATATGATAAAATGGAGCAACATCGTTCCTATAACCATTTCTATTTTTTTCATTCCATGTCTTTCACAGTATACTATGAGATACAGGAATGATTTACCTTTGTGGCAGTTACCCTGATTTTTGAGATGAGTGATTTTCACCAAAAGCATATTTTACAAAAAGCTTCATAGAGATTACAAAGATAAAGGCATTTGAAGAATTACTAACATGTACAATATACAGATCACACTTCAAATTGAGACAAACACATGACAACAACAGGTTTTTTTTGCTAGATATGAAGTTTCCTATCTTCCTTTGTGTTTGTTTGTGGTGCTAGGCATAGAACTAGGACCTTGTACATGCTAAACAAGCCACACCCCTAAGCTAAAAAGCTTAGGATGTCACTAAAACTACATTCCTTCCTGCCTTGAGTCTTACTATTCTCAGCTCTAGGCAAGAAAACAGAATTAGGGAAAGAGATATTCTAAGGCCTAAGGAAGCTTCAGATTTCAGTGATTAAAATGAGTTATGATATGATGTTTTTAAACTGCCCAGGACAGTGATTAAAAAACATACATATGCAAATACCTGTTTTTAACAGGGCAAATTATTTTATATGTTTTAGATTATTTAGATTGTCTTCACTTCTAAATTTAGGGGTGGAGGATATAAACAGATGGTCAAATTTGCTCCTCAATGTTGACAGTGTTAGCATTCTATCCCCACTATTTCCAGTCACTTCTGCCTTTAGTGTCACGAACTAAAAAACATTATTTTGCTTTTGCTTTTCTCTCAGATCTTGGGTTTTACATCTCTCCCCCGAAACGTTCAATCTGTGATTTTTTAGATGAATTGCGGCATCTTTGTTTGGCAGGCTCTCTCTCCAGTCTGGTATCACGCTGTCTTCTTCAGGCTGATCTCATCCTTCTGGCAGCAATGTGAAGGTTCATGGTTGTGATACCATTGGATGTGGATTAGGTGGAAAACTCCCTAGAGGAGGCTCAGGAAATCTCGCGGGACTTCTGCCAGGCTGCAAATGGGAGATGGAGCCTTCTACACAAAGACACTGAAGAGAGGGAATTCAGCCTGATTGGGCTGTAGCAAATCAATGAGAAAGCAAACAGTGCCAGAGAAGCCTTCATACAAGCTGTATATGCTTTCAAGGACTCGGGAACCAGCTTTGAATTCTTCCGTGAATAAGAACTGAGCAAACCTAAGAAAAGAAGAAAACAGTTTTTAATATGAGTGTGTCTATATGGCCAGCCACAGGATGCTCTTCTTTTGTGAAGTTAAAGTTTTAGTGTCATTTTCTTTTCAGAATTATGTAATTAATTTGAGAAACTCCATTCTCTGGACAAAAATAATGAGATCAGTTATATAAGTGTTTATGTTTTGCAACAGATTTTGCTGGCAAACAAATCCAACTATTTTAGGAGTTGCAAATCAAAGCACATTGGTAGTTTTTTATATGTATATTCCTTCCACTAGCCAATAATTAAAAGTGAAAAAGCCACATAAATCATCCTACTTTTATTTATCTTAAACCGAAGCAAACTTATATATCACTGTCCCTTTAAAAATCTAAATATATTGTGTTTCCAGGAGCATATTATTTCTGAACTGGGTTTCATTTATATGTGACAGAGAGCAGAGGCTGAAAAATGTGCAGGAGATTACACAAACTGCTTTGGGCAACAAAGGACTAAGATGAATGGTAGGATGCAAGCAACTTTTCATAATGAATAGTAAATCAAATAGTAAATTCAAGTATGAGGCACTATTGCTAAGACAATCTGCCTTTAAAACAACTTACTGATCTCTAAAATCTCGATGAATCACATTTTTCTTTCACTTTTATTTTTTTATTTACATTGTATAGTAATTTCCAGCCTTTCAAATGTTCTCAGCTGTGTTGTCGTTTTTAATTGATCTTATTCATTTTTCGTCAACAACAAAAATAATCAAGTCTGATGCTGGTGAGGCCTGAGAGTTGACACTGTCATAAATTTAGATTATTGCAGCCACATGGAGGTCCTATAAAAAGTAATTACTTATTTGATCTTTTGTAGAGCCCTTGGAATTATTGCAGGCAGCTTAAAAATAAATAAGGAGGAAATAAATTGAAATTCCATTTGTTACCAATTTTCTATCAACTGTTTTCTTAAATATGCAACCATTTAATTAATATTTCATACTTCTAGAAAAAGAAAACAAGCTATTTTAAGAATCAACTCAGTATGTATAATTATGTGATAATTAGGAATTGTGAGATGCCAAAGGGGTGCCTTCATCTTTTGAGTGCTATGGCATACTTGGCAGTCTGGATACCTCAGAACTGTCTTCAAATGTATAACACGTAGTATGTAGAATTCTAAAAGATCTCAACTATAGAAAAGCACAGTTAGTGTGATTGTTCTTTTCTTTTATCTTTATTAGATGCTGGGCATTGAAGCCAGAAATTTGGGCATGATCCATCATTGAGCTATAAGCCTAGCACCAGTTTAAGGAAGGAAGGAAGGAAGGAAGGGAGGGAGGGAGGGAGGGAGGAAGGGAGGGAGGGAGGGAGGGATGAAAGAATGAAGGAAGGACAACTCAAACTTACGGTATAGTAACATGCATTCTTCATTAGCACAGTAAATAGCACTATTTAGTAGTGCCTTAATATGTACTAACATTTTTAAGTACTTAGGGATATAAAATATATTTTGTACCACCTACAACAAAAGTAGTTGAATATGAGAATATGCCTTCTACCCTCTGACTCTTGCCAGCCTTTGGGATCCTATTCCTCATACTGGGTTGCCTTGTCCAGCCTTAGTATGAAGGGAGGTGTCTAGTCTTACTACAACTTGATATCCCTTGTTTGGTTGATATCCATGGGAATCCTGCCCTTTTCTGAATAGAAACAGAGGAGGAGTGGATTAGGGGATGAGGGGAGGTGTGGAAAAGAGACTGGGGGAAGAGGAGGGAGGGAAAACTGTGGTCAGGGTGTAAAAATAATAAAAATCACTTAAAAATAATTCTAAGGAATGAATAACATCGGTCATTTCTGAGAACCGTTGTCAATATAAAGTGAAAACTATTGTTTCAAAACTATTCCCCCAATTAAATTAACCAATCAATTTTCTCAACAATTCCCAGTTAAAATAGAAGCCTGAATGGTAATTGTAGAACTAAAAGGAATGGACAATATTGACCACAGTACATTAAAAAAAACCCTAATGGATCTCTTAAAAAAACTGAGCTAAGAAAAGTCATCATTTATAAATTATTATTAATTGATAATTACATACACATTTGAAGCTCTAGAGAATACCACAAACGAAGTAAGAGGGGGGCTACCTGGCGGAAGGGAACCAGTCGGCAATGAAGAGTGTGCACAAGGGAAGGCAGTGCAGGGGGACAGTGAATTAGAAACAAGTACAATGACATATGTGAGTAAAGATGTCATAATGAAACCAACTACTTCACATACCAACTTTAATAGAAAAGTTACAATAGAAAAGGAATAGTGGGAAATCCAGGCAGAAATTAATGAAGTAGGAAGCAAAAGAGAAATAAATAAAACTAATAAACAAAGTCAAGGACAAACAAGACAAGGAAAAGTGTAAATGTGTTTTGACAACTACTAAAAGCACTAGGAATACCATCTCATAGACAGGAAATCACAAACATCACAGGAATGTGCTACTGGAGCGTGACCCCCAGAAAGGCAACTAAAGTGACCTACATGTTGGGTTGAGCCATGGAGTGAGTTTGTGATCCATTAACAAATAAACCTACATTTTACAACTTTGTACCTGTGAGTGAGAATGCATTTCATGAAGAACTCTGGAACTCAAACTGTTATAACTACAGCTCTGAACACTCAGAGTGGCATGCCAGGAAGTAGAGAGGTTCACCCAATCTTTTCAAATAGATGTTTTAAGGCATAAGAAACTCTGACTAACTCCATTATCCTAGAGTACGCCCTAATGACTTTCTTTTAATTCATTTGAAAAACAACAAGTCAGATTTCAGTGAGACAGGTTCAAAAGCTGTGTCATGTGTGTGCTAAGCAAGCACTCTACCACTGAGCCACATCACCAGAAGTCAATTTTACTGTTTGGAGGAAGGGGCTCACCCCTTGCCCAGGTTGGCCTTGCCCTCTCTCTTGTAGCCCAGAAAGGTTTTGAATTTGTGATCCTCTTGTAAAAGTCTCTTAAATAGCTACAATTATGGGCCTGCATCACACAAAGCAGGTAGAAGGCTCACAAAGGCTTCAGAGCAATTATGCAAATATCAAAGATAGTTTATGTTTTATTTTAACACTGAATACTGTATTAGTCGAAGACCTTTCTGGGTCATCAGACTTTATAGAGCTAGGAAATACATATACAAAGTGAACATTATAGGTGGAGGGGGCTAGGAGCTAAATGTAAAAAGGCTAGGGAGCCAGGAGACATAGGAAGAAATTAAAAATTATCAGTTGATAGAAACAAAATTTAAGGGCTTGAGGTGTATTATACGTGGCATACTAAAGAAATCACAAGAACCTCAATATGGTAGACAGAACAAGGAGAAAGAGAATAGGAGATGAAATCAAAAGTAACGGGAATCTAGGTGTTGTGAGACCTGTCAGTCAAAGCACAGACTTGGGTCTTTGCCTTTATCCAGTGTAGAAATCTATTGGATTATCTTGAGCATAGGAGTGCCATTACAACATTAAATACATTGCAAAATGTACACATAAAAGCATAAAAGCTTTTCTCTCCTTGTTATTAAAGCTTGTTTATGGGGATGTATTGTTGTAGGGAACTCATGCAGTAGAAAACCAAAAAGAGTATGGCTGCCTAGAAGAAAGGAGGTTACAGTCATAATTATTTGTGTATAATGAGTATATATAAAAAATCCAATGGAAACTAATAGAAAACTGGTAGAACAACAATGGAATCAGTAAGTTCTATGATAGTATTTATGAAAACTTCATAATTACAAGGTACAATGCATATTTACATGAAAAACAGAAACTGATGATAAACTCTACTAATATGTATTTTTAAAATTTAATAAGTACCAATAATAAACAGCCTGAAATGATTCCTTAAGAAAAATTCACTTGTAATAAACTTGGAAATAAACAAAACAAAATAACTTAATGCTAATAAGAATTATAAAGACATACTTCATAAAATCAAGAATTGGGCAAGGAACATTTTTCAACTGAAATAAATGGAAAGGAATAATTTGATCTTGAATGGAAAACCTTGATATTTTAAAGATGTTAATGATTCTTATGGAAATAACCTATAATTCAGTGAAATTCCAGTCAAATTGTATAGCACTGTTTTTAAAGCTGAAAAATTGCTTCTAAATTACAAGATGAAAAATGAGGGAGAGTAGTAAGGAAAAAGCAGAAGTAAACAATTACATATAGAAGTAGCAACAGGGCACATAAGTTCCCAAGCAAAGCTATTTACCTAGTAAACCTCAAATTGTAATAAAGATTAACTTTTAAGTCACAGTGATATGCTAAAAAAAATTTAGTGACCAATGGTAGAAAACAATGTAGTGCCAATGAAAATTAATTCCTAGATGAATATAAAATCACAGAAGTGCAAGTGTCAGTATTCATTACCCCTCTTTTGCCTTAGAATAGTAAATGGAATTTTATAAATAACACAAAATACAGAAATCTTAAAAGGAAAATTAATGACTTTCACAAGAACACTTGGTACTTTCACATGGCAAAAGTTTAGTAATGGGGGAAAAATGGAAAAGAAAGGGGCTGGAGAGATGCCTCGGCAGTTAAGAGCACTGGCTGCTCTTCCAGAGGATCTGAGTTCAATTCCCAGCACCCACATGGCTGTTCACAACTGTCTATCACTCCACAACAAGGAAATCTGCCTTGTTTTCCTGGCTTCCACAGGCTTCGGGATGACAGGTAGTGCACAGACTCACATACAGGCAAAACATCCACACAAATAAAATACAATGTTTATATTAAAAAAGAAATAGCAATAAAGGAAAATATTTATATCACATTTTGAGGAAGAGTTATAATCATTAATATAACCACCACAATAGAAAAAGTGGGGAGGGAACAGGAGGAAGGGAAAGGAAAAAGGTAAGTTCACTTTAGACTAAGAAACACAAATCTGTAGATTTCAGTTCTAAAATTTTAGGTCAGGGATAGAGTACTCAATGATAGACTGCTTTCTTATCTAGCATGTATGAGTCTCTGGGTTCTATTCCCAGCACTGGAAGCAAAAGGGGTATATGGTAATTTTAAAATATTTCAGATATAAATGCTTCTATCACTATAATGTGCATATATTGTATATTTTGATTACAATGGATGTATATGTTGGATATGATATTTGAGGCAATTTTGTCTATATTAGTCAATATTGAGCATATATGAAGTTTCTATTATTTAGAAGTTGATTGAATTAATTACGGTAAGACTTCATTGAATAATTATTTAACATTTTAAAACAATAAAATAAATATAGTCAAATTAAAATTACTCATTCAAAATTGTAAGTTAAAGTAGTACATATTGTACCTTTATATATGTATAATAATAATAATAGGAACCTATTAAAATAGATTGAGAGTTGAGGTATGATTTAATGATAAAGTGTGTCTTTAGCAAATGTGAAGTACTGGGTTTAATTCTTAGAACCAAAATGTGCACAAACACACATATACATGTATAAATACATACATAAATATACATATACATGCATAGATATATAGTATATAGCATAATATACATACATATACATATACATACTTAGGAATAATAAAGCTCACATTTATAGTAACAATGGAAGTTAACCCTTACATTGAAGTTACCATATTCCAGGCATTATTTAAATGATTTTCTTGTGTTTATTTGCAAGTTCTTTTTTATAATAAAGTTTATAAAATTAAAAAAATAAAATAAATTTAATGTGTTAATTTATTTCAACCAACCAGTACTCCTGAGATGTGGACACTATTTCACATAGCCAATATGATTATGTATATATCCCTTTAAAAGGAATTCTCACAACCATGAGGGACTATTATTTGGTCTCTACCAAGTGACAACTCAGTTTCAAGGGAATCAAGTCATATGAGTGGGGGACGGTGAGAAGCCCCTTAGCTTAAAAGGCATAAATACCACACAGAAGATCAAGACCTCTTCTGACATCTTACAGAGACAACTTCCAAGTGCCCTCAAAGGGAATATTGATTTCATGTTGTTCAGTTTTCTACCAGTTTATTTATAGTTCATTCATAGTCTTCCTGGCACAAGTGTATACTGTTAGTTAATCAGTATGGAGTTATTTCTACTCAAAACAATGTTGTCTGTTCTACATCTGGTTTCCATATTTATTAAGGCTTTAGGGAATAAATTACAGAGATTAATTTACCATTATAAAATTAGATAATATAGCCGGGTGTTTGTTGGTGGCACACGCTTTTAATCCCAGCACTCAGGAGACAGAGGCAGGCAGAACTCTCTGAGTTCGATGCCTGCCTGGTTCTAAAGCTACACAGAGAAATCCTGTCTCGAAAAAAACCCCCAAAATATTACATAATACATATTATTAGAAATATATATATATATATATCCTTTAGCTCCTAATTCCATTTCTAGGAACTTACTTGCCAACAAAGGTTGCATCCACTGCAGAAGCAAGGTGCAGAAACAAGAGATATGACAACTATTAATAGAAATTATTTCCCTCAGTTGCAATGTTGGAGGTTCACAGTGAAAGAGATTAGCAATCCAAGATGTGTCTTCCTCCTGCATAGCCTACTTCCCTTATAGGTAGACAGCAGGAAAGGATAATTTATTCTTCCATGTGTAAATGAAAACATTGGAAACAAGTGGAGTAAAACGTTCTTATTTTAGTAAGAATGTTTAACAAAAATGATAGGAGAGACCCTGTGTGTATTGATATAGCATGGTCAGCAAGATAACAAGGCACTATCATTTGTATAAGAAGGACCAAATTTGAGATATATTCCCCTATGCTTGATTTTATAGAGAACATTCTCGGGAAGACACACAAGACAGAATATCCAGGGCTGGTCACTATGCTATTTTCACACATTTGAAACAAAGTGACTATATTACCTACTCAGAAAATTAATTAGATTAGAATTTCAAAAACAAGGCCTGGGAATGTAGCTCAGTAATAGAGTACTTGCCTAGCACACAAGAAGCTCTGGGTTTAATCCCTCGCACCACATAAAATGGTGTGATGTATACCCGGAATTCTAGAACTCACAAGATGGAAGTAGGATGAATCAGGAATTCAAGGTCATTGAATACTGAATTGAAGGCCAGCCTAAAATATGTAAGACCTTGTCTCTAGAAGAAAAAAGGATTTCTAAGCATATGCACATGAAAACAGCTGACCTTTGGGCACGGTAGATGTATTTGGAGTTTCCTGTAAGGCGGTACAGCAGAAGGAAGACATAGGCACTGCCGGCTACACCATGGCAAATCCCTGGTCCCTTCTTCAGCAGACCTTTCTGCCATGTTAGCTCCCCACACCGGATACATGTGTCCAGGTACTGTGGTTTCTTGGAAACAAGGTAAGCTTTGGCAAACAGATAAGCAATTCCTGTGAAAACATTAAAGACAGTAAGAGGTGACTTTTAGCTTCTCAAAGGTGTACACCTTGTGAATCATCACATACACTAACACAGTGTGTCTAAGATGTGGTCTGAGATATTATATTTCCTTTTTGTTTTCGTTTGGTTTTACATTACTAGCTACATTTCCAAAAAATAGACTTCTGGGCACTATGCACTTTGTAGCAAGACTATAGAGTGTTCTACAAAAGAGTGTGCTTTTTCCCGTGTGATTAGTTTAAACTGTTTTAATTCTATCATGAAGTTGGTTTCTGGAGAAAAAGAAAAATTTGAATTGAAGCACATCAATTAATATGATCCATTGCCCCATAGAAGTTCAGAATTTGCAATGTTTGCATATTTATAACAATATCCTTTCCCTTAATAGAAAAACTAGGAGTCTTTCCAAAAATAACACTGCTATCAAGCAAGCTCAGTAAGACATCTACTCCAGCTTTTAAGTGAGTCCTTCCCATGGTCAGTGTTCCATGGAAAGAAACATTCCTTCAAAACTTGCCAACAGAGGTCATACCCACTACAGAAGCAAGAACAGAAACAGGAGATGTGGTAACTACTCATTGAAATTATTTGCCTCACGTTACAAGGTCTGGAGGTCCATAGTGAAAGAGACTAATAATCCAAGATGACTCTGCCTCCTTCATAGCCTACTTTCCTCCTAGACAGAATGCAGAAAAGGACTAAGAAACTAGCATAGGGGTAAAATGCTTGCCTAGCAAGTGTGAGACACTGGGATTTGGGCCCAGCACCCTCCGATTTATATTTTAAAGTGGAAGCAATGGACCTGAATGGAGTAGGTATCTTGATAAGATAATCCACTAAGATTCTGTCTGCCTTTCATTGCTCTTAATAAGGTATTTATATATAACATGTGTGGCCATGGTGCAAGGCACGCTTCAAGGACAAAGCAGCTTGTTCCTCAAAGGGTCCCATACTGGGCTTCATATTGTGCAGTTAGCATCTTGAGATTCTTAGTAGCTTTTCCAAATTAATACTTTCTTATTTTGTACTAGGTCTCAAACTGCATAGCTAGTCCTGTCACCGAGGAATCTAAATAAATAAATCTAAAATAAATGCTAATGGCATATGCCCTTCGGGTAGACACTGTGACTAACACAAAATAAAGTGTGGGTCCATGTTGCTGCAGGGACACACAATGAGTGGTACTATCGGCGATAGTATAGAGATCAGACAAGTGAAATTGTCCTGAGGGAAACAGTCGGGAGAAGCCTTGAATGGAAGCTTGCATTTTCTGGGGTTTGTAGGCTGCATGGAAAACTCCAGGCCCATGATGAGGCAGAGAAAGCATATTAGGCACCAAGATCACAGAGGCTAAGAGGTTCAGAGATATCTAAGACTAAACCACAAGATCAGTCTGGCAGCATCCTAACCAAGGGGCCAGGAGGGTAGAAGAATAAGAATGAGTTCACATTATGGATGTATGAGGGCTTCTGTTGGGCATTTTAAGAAGACTGTATACTGTGGGTAATCAGGAACTACTACAGGTCTTTTTTATTATGAATTGGTTGGTTTTGATTTTTGCATAACAGTATGATTGCTGTCACAGAGTATTTTGAGGAAAGAACTAAAAGAGGAAGGGTAGCTCTGAGCTACTTTTGTTGGCAGAAAAACTGAAATGAAAGTTACCAAAGAGTAATTTCATAGGACGTGGTGGCTGTTTAGATACCAACTGAGCATGAACTGTAGGGCAAATGCTGACTTTTAAAAGGCCACTCTCTTTAATGGCTTTTAGAGCTTAATCTGGAGGTACAAACTAGGCTACGTGTATACAAATATAGTTGTAGGAACACACAGGAGGGTCCCTGCCCTGCAGCTGCTGGTAAGAAAGGCGTACTAGACTGCCATCAATCTAACTGAGTACTGGCAAATGAGCAGGAATCAATGAGATGCCTGAATCAGCTCCCCTTTATCTTACCAGCAAGTATGCCATGCCTGAGTTCTTTTAACAGCTGGCTGTTAATGTACATCCTGGATTCCCATGTCTGGAGATTTCCCCACAGGCAAACAGAAAGTCGTACAATGTACTCAGACAGAAAATTATTTTCATTGCTACTTCACAACTGCAATTTTGCTACTGTTAGGAATAGTACCATAAATATCTGATATTCAAGATATCTGACATGCAACCTTCAAAGGGGTTGTGAACCACAGTTTGAGAACCACTGTGTTAGGGTGATAAATGAGGCATCGCAGGTTCAACAGACATTTGTAGGAACTATTTGGTGACAAAACACCACACCACAGATGAGGAGAAGTTGACTATCATGGATGGATACAAACAGCCTGCTCCCTTTCCTCAAGAACTAGAACTAAATTTAGTATATCTTGTGCCTATTAGCATCCCTCAGAATCAGAGGACAGCTAGTCTCAATGAAAGCCACACTTCTCCGGCTTTTCTTAATTTTGCTGGCCTACAACCTCTGGTCTAGTAAGTTCCCTGAGAGTATGCTCTGCTTCCAGACACACAAAACAGACTGTGTTATGTGGTAAGTGTTTTAGCCAAGGAAAAGCTAAAGGGCTCGCTATTATATGGGTACTTTAGCATGCTAAGAAAGTGCTTTATGTTCAACATCCTGCCTGTTTGCTCGTCTCTTCCATTATCTGACCAAACTTTTCACTTCCACAAAAACAAAATACCTGTGGTGCTTCTGTGTTTCTGAGTGCCTATGTTATTCTTGGAAGAGGTCTTCTGTTTTTCTTGGCACAACTCAATTTAGGAATCGCTTTCTTTAGAAAGCCTTCATTGAATCTGGAGGCAACAGGAGAAATCTCTTTTCTTAGATCCTACCTCACACTACATATAACACTTATACATAATCAAATTAAAACTATCTGTTTCTGTGTTTGCCTCCCCTACTACAAGGCAAACCACCAAAGGGCAGGACTTTTATCATATCCTTTTATTTTCTCCTCGTCTGTGGTGTGGTGTTTTGTCACCAAATAGTTCCCCAAATGTCTCTTGTCCCTGTCCTCATTTATAACCCTAACACAGTGGTTCTCAAACTGTGGGTCACAAACCCTTTGGAGGCCGCATGTCAGAAATCCTACATATCAGATACTTACATTACTATTTCTAACAGTAGCAAAATTGCAGTTATGAATTAAAAACAGAAATAATTTTATGGTTGGGGTCACCACAATGCAAGGAACTGTATTAAAGGGTCACGGCATAAGGAAGGTTGAGAACCACTGCTGTAGCAGAAGCTGGCACTAGAAACAGAGTAGAGATGTAGAAAAGAAGATAGAGATGCTTTAATTGCTTTATCAAGACATTAGCTCCAGGCACTTACAAACTATGGATCCCATGGCTCTAGCCAGAGCAAAAACTCCTCTTCTGGAAGCCTTGATCACAGACTGATGTTTGTGTAGGGGGCTTTAAAAATATTCTAAATTTGTTAACACATAGCCTAATGGAAACCATCCTAATGCTTCTTCTGACTCTTAAAGGAAAGGATGTCATGTTTCTTTGACTGTGATGGGAACTAGCACAACGTTTTCCTGGAATCACTAATTTATATTCAACAATATGAAACACAAGTCAGTGACAGTGTATGACTTTGCCAAAAACAACAAGGACCTTAAGTTACAATTTAATAGAGATGGTTTGGGGAGACTAAATCTTTGAAATGTGGGCTCTCCAGAGACTTTTGACAAGTAGAATACACAATTTCAACATACTGGAGTGTCACCAATCAGGTTCATGCTAGGATGTGTAATTTTGCTGAGTCATTACAAACCTTAGTTACCATCCTGTGCTTCAGAAGCTGTCTGAAGTCACCTACCCAAGAGCCTTGTGAGATAAATTTTCAAAACTGCTCAGAGTTTCACAGAGTAAAGGAAGTGCACTGTCAGTGTTACCAAAGTAATGATGTAACCTGATGCAGTCAGCGAGGTTATTTTAACCACAGCATTTGTTTTAATGATTCTGCAAATGACTTCCATCCTGTATTTCAGAGTGATCAAGGTTATGAAGGGATCATATGACTCTTCCTGCAACACATTATTGTATTTAGGGAGAAAAACCTATATGTCACCATAGGTATTTATAAATGTGCGTTTATAAAAGCATCTGAGATATATCCCTTAGGGATGGCAAAGGTCAAGATATAAAAATGTGTCAATGGTGACACAAACACTGAGATTCACTATTCCACTTCAAAATGCTCATCTCAGAGTCTTTAAAATGTGACTTTTCTCAAGGTCACTTAGCTGGTTACGGCTAGAGTTACAATTAGACCCCAGAATTGTTACTCTGTAGTCAAGAACTAGTTATACATTTCATACATACTAACTTGGGCAGTCACTTGTAGAGGTGGGCTAAAAGCAAGTCAAAAGGAAACTGAGGTGTGGATAAGGTAGCAGTAATGCAGTTCCACTTTGTAGATTATCTCTGGCAAGTTTTTAATCACCAGAATGGTCTGTCATCCCAAACCATCTGTGCTATTCATAAATCTATTCTCAAATTTTTTTCTCAAACAAATGAATTTCCAGGCCATTTCCTGTTGGGGAGAAATTTATTATAGTCAACTTCAGCGAGGTCATGACTGTGTTTGACCTGCAATTACCAGTTTTATAATTACTCTTAGAAGAGGGTTGGGATTAGTAGAAATAATGGACCATATTTCATCAGTGAATCAGTTTCTTTTTGATGCTCCAGTGACTACATGGACTTAATGATAATTAGTTTTGTAGCAATATATTTATGTTACTCTTCTCAAAACGCTTAGAATGAATGCTAAAGGGGATGAATAAAGTCCCTAAATGTCATAAATCCTATGCTACAGTGTCATAGTAAATGACCTGCTGAAACAGATGGCATTTGGTATACAGAAAGGGTAGAATAATAGCCATTTAAACACCTACTTCAAAAACAGGCTCATCCACTCATTTTAGTAGATTATCTTTCTACTCTATGAAGGGTTTTTACTAGCATATTGAATTCTTCTAAAATATTCTATATTTAATTTGGGACATCTCCAAAATTGAAGAATCCTGCAATGCCTGGAGAATATGCAGAGACCATCGCTGAGAATGATTAAGTAAAGGAGAAATAGGTATTGGGCATAACAAGAAACATAATTTGCGGGATGGTAAATAACTAACTGTTGTGTTTTCCCCCAAAAGGTCAAAGCAAGAAGTAATGGGCACAAATTAAACCTGGCAGCAGTTAGCCTGAACATAATGTACTATGTCCTGGTACTTTTTAAATACTTTTTTATTATATATTTAAATTAGAAACAAGTTTGCTTCCCATGTTAGTCCTGGTACTTTTTTTTTTTTTTTTTGGTTTTTCGAGACAGGGTTTCTCTGTGGCTTTGGAGGCTGTCCTGGAGCTCGCTTGGTAGTCCAGGCTGGTCTCGAACTCACAGAGATCCGCCTGCCTCTGCCTCCCGAGTGCTGGGATTAAAGGCGTGCGCCACCAACGCCCGGCCCTGGTACTTTTTTAAATACACAGTTTGCCATTCCTTCCATAGTTGAATGTGGCAGGCAGAGAAAATACGACAGTAGGCAGTGACTTATATTTTTCATCATCCTCAAACTGTATCAAGGAAAAAACAGAACTCTAGTTTGATTAAAGAACATTAATTAAAGGGAGAAGGGAGGCAATAAAAATCAGGTAACATGACAAAGATAAATCACATGCAATCTAAAGTTGTACTCTTCTATTTGAAGCAGAGCCTTGCAAATCCATTCATAATCAAAAAAATTTTGGAAGGTGAAAGTAATTATAAAGCATTATAGACACATGCAATTGTCAAGGAACAAATTTAATAATTGTGTTATTTGATATTTTGTTCTCTTTGCCAATTAACTGAACTTTTTTTTAATTCAACTTCTTTTAAATTATTCCTTCTCTGGAAGACTAGTTAGCAGTGTAATGGGATTTGAAAAGTGTGGGATAGAGAGAGGTAGGTAATGAAGTCTGTCTAGTTTCAAGGTTCAATTTCAGAATTCATTGGGGGTGGATTTTCATTTCCTTAGACATTTTATTAATTATTACTGGAAATACTCACTTGAACAGTAATTCTAAAACCACGTATTTCAAACTTAAAGATTAACACAAGTTTCATAAGGATACTGATCAAATACACATTGTGATTCGCTGGCTTGTGATGGAGCCTGAGATTAGAAATTTACAACAAGTTGTCCCACTACTAGATCAGAGGCCACCATATAAATAATCAGGCTATGGCTGTGCACCTTCCAATGTAGCTAAAAAGATTTTGAAATGTAGCATTTGATTAGAATGTTATATAAGTATAAAAATCAATACTGAATTTTAAAGATTTCAATATTTTAAAGAATGTATGCTATCATTTTTTTAGTGTTCTGGATTGAACCCAGGCCCTCTGTGTTCCAGAAAAGTGCTTTTGTCCCTAGCCAAGCCATCTCTATTTTTAAATTAGTAGCCTACTGAAATAATAATATTTGGGTTATATATTATAAAATGAATTCTACCCATTTATTTTTGCATTTTAATATGGGGCCACTGATTCTTATTATGCATATATTCTGGGACTCAAACCCAGAACTCTGAGTATACTAATCATTCACTCTACCACTCAGATACCCTAAAAGTTTAGACTACACATGTGATTCACATCATTTTGAGGGAATGCTTGGTTAGCACTAAGGATAGAGAAATGTACTTTTAAACTTATGGAATAACTTTCAGAAGTCCTTTAAAGATCAGGATATTTTTTAGTTTTCAAAAATTTCAACTTGATAGCTATGATCCAGGATGAGAAATACCCTCAAATATCAGAAAAACGAAGCTCCCTTTGTGTAAGCTAGGTGAAAGACTCTGCTTTCAGAAAATAGAATGTGGGAGACCTGGAGCACCGTGGCACCAATGGACCAGTTCATTCTCTCTCTCAATGGTCTCTCCAAGCTCAGGTGGCCAGTTGCAATTCTGTTCCTGCTCCATGAGGAAGTCCACACTCTGCCACACCAGCTCCCGATCTGAAGGCTTGAGATGCTCATGGTAGGAAAGAAGCATCTGGAGAATGGATGACAGGCCATGAGCTGCCCCTGTGTGGACAAAGCAAACATCATTTATCCACCAAGAGAGGAGAGGTAGTTTGATCTAGTGAAAAGAAAATCGTGAGATTTGTTTTATGGTAAAATATTACTTGAAAGCACATATATTTCTATAACGATTGAGTTGCTAAGAAACTAAACCAGCTATAGACATCAGTTCATTATCAGGAATGGCCATTTAAGGTGGTCTCTCCACTATTGTTTAGCTTGCCAGTTCATCCAGTGACTGATGGAAGCAGAGGCAAACACCCACAGTTAAACACTGAACTGAACCCATGGAACCCAGTGACAGAGAGAGAGGAGCGATGAGCAAATTGTCAAAGAACAGGTTGGCAAAATCAGCAGACACAGCTGATCTGAACAACGGGAGCTCTTGGACCCCAGACCGACAGCTGGGAGGCCAGCATGGGACTGATCCAGACTCCCTGAGAGTGAGAGTCAGTGAGAAGGCCTGGGCAACCTAAGGGCCCTGGGCAGTAGATCAGTGTTTATCCCTGGCATACAAACGGACTTCGTGTGTCCATAACACAAAGAGGGATGCTCTCTCAGCCTGGACTCTTAGGGGAGTGCCTGGACCCTACCCAGAGTGAAATGACAGACTCTAGATATCCCCTATGTGGAAGGAAGTGGGGATAGGATGGGAGGCTGGGGGAGATGGCAGGGGGTGCAGGAGGAGGGGAGGGAGAGGGAATTGGGATTGACATGTGAAGCAAGCTATTTAAAACTAAAGTAATAAAAAAGAAACTAAACCAGCAGCAAAGTATAGCTTGCAGCCCAAATCTGCCTCACTGACAAAGTTTTATTGGAACATAGCTATACTCATCCACTTGCACGTTGTTCTCTGTTTCCTTACATACAGCAGACTTGAATATATGGCTGAAACTATATGAACCATAAACCCTAAATAAAACTGTTAAGCTCTTCATGGAAAATTTGATTTTTATGAAAATGGTCTCAAAGTACTTGCAATCAATTTGGTCTAGATATCTTAACAATCCATCAATCCATTCAAAATATAAGTATTAAGCACCCACTATGCACCAGATGCTTTAGGTGCTAAAGGTAGATGAGTAAACAAAACAGAAAAAAGGCCTTTCTCTTGGTATCAATTCATTCAATTGTTTACAATGAATACTTACGTTTTGGACATTATCTCACAATTGATACAACAATGAAGATGAATTTGCCCATACTCTTGAAGAGACATCTCTATTCAGTTCAGAAAGTGAGCCATATTTGAAAAAATGTTAGAATGTAAGTGACATACACTATAATAGATGTGCAGCAGGAGTATGATGAGTGAGTCTACGTGGAAACTTAGCTGGGCAAAATGTTACCCAGAGATTTTGTTTGAACATTATTTCTATGTATGTCTTTTTGAGTGCTTGTGGGGACAGCAAAAGTTGAACCTGTAGAGTGATTAAAGAAGATTGCCCTTGTCAATTGTAGGTAGTCCTCATCCACGCATCAAGGCCTGAATGTACAAAAACACTAAGAAATAATTGTCCAGCTTAGACATTTGTCTTATCCCTGTAGACTTGGACTCAACCTGAAACTTACAACACTGACTTTTGTAGGTCTGGATTTTTTCAGCCTTATAATCTTTTAAGCCTATTCCTTTATTAGTGCTCCATTATTTATACAAATAAACAATATACATGTGAATATCTATATATTATGCAACATATACAACTTAGAATATATGAGGCATACTATGTAGTCTTATATTAAAACATATTGCATTTTCCTGGATAAAATATCAGGAAAGTACTTACATATTTACCAGAAATTTGGTTTGTAATATGTGTATCATTGGCCAGAATGTCAATTTCTCCTTTAAAAAACTATTAATGAAGGAACTTTAGACACTGCTAGTACCCTGACAAACTATGCTGTCTAGACTTCCCTATCTTAAATGGCTTATTTTGCCTGAATTTATCTCTGGCCACAAGAATATGCTCAACACACAGGGATAATGCAGAATTAACACCCCTGAAGCAGCCAACAAATAAAGTAGAAAATGCATAGAAAAATCCGTGAACTTCCTCAGTCATTGGGTAAGACAATTCTGAGGCATGTCCCATATGGCTTCTGTCAGTCTCCAGTGGGACTAAGCCTAATCCAGTTTGAAAATGAAATATTATACAGTGAATGCTTGCTCTCCAGTGAGTGGTGCTATTTTGGGAGATTGTAGAAATGTTAGAATGTGGGTCGCTTGGTGTATATCTTTGCGAGTCTCCAGGCCCTTCCCTTTCCCTCATTTTCATCTACCATGAGAGGAGTACCCTCTGCTATATGCTTCTGCTATCATATGTTCTTTCCTGTTATGGGCCCAGAATGAATTCAGTCATGTGACAACAGAATGGACCTTCTGAAACCACGAGCCAAAATTTTTCTTTCCTCCTTTAAGTCATTACAGCAGGCATTTTGTCAAAGTGACTCAAAAGTCTAACATAGCCTCTATCCAGGACTGCTCATTATTTCACAAATTAAAGTCTTCCTCTTTCTTGTCTAACGTTTCTATTCCCTAGCAGTGCTTTCTAGGATCACACTTCAAAGAGATTTTTATACTCAAATCCTACTTCAAGATCTGATCTCTCATTTAGAAAGGAATGCAAAACTTCTTTGAGAAAATGCTCACTAATGCTGCTCATTAGCCATTCATCCATTCATTTGGGTACTCTCATTAAATGCAGGCTCTGTGGCAAAGGTCCCAGAATCACAAGCCAAGTGAATGAATCCCCATTCTGAATGTGTACAAAAGCTGACAGAGCAGTTGAACAAGTGACTCACAAATTATAATAAGACACGGTGAGGACTCCATTAACAGTGTGGGCATGTGGGCATGATGCCATGATGTCACCCTATTTGCTTCAGGGGAAAATACCTGAAATATGTTAATGATTCTCAAGATTGGCTTCAACAACCCTTTCCCCTAAAACTCAGAATGTACCTCAGTATATCCCATAAGGTTTATACCGAGTTTTAAGTCTGTGCATTACAAGTGGACGAAGGGCTTGTGGGAAGTGAAGCCTTCTGGTAAAAAGAACCATAAATAGCAGTTTAAAGGTAAGAGGTCACTATGTGTGTGGAAACCTACAGTAGACAGAACCTCGAGGAAAGGAGAGACAGTTTAAGTGTGGCTTACAAAAGGACTTACAAATTTTGCTCAGGAGTGTAAGGACACAAACTGGGGGGAACTCACGTTTTCCTTACATGAATCAGAGCTCAAAATTAGTCATTGTAGTTCTGTTGCTGTTACGATTCTGCTATCACTAAAAACTTACTGAATTGATCTTATTCCCCTGTTCAAAAGCATTACTTTGAATCAGTGTGATCACTGTTCACCATGTCTTAACAAAGTTAAGCCATGTATGATATATGCCCATTTGTCCCAGTTCCTCGGAAAGTTGATGCAGGATATTTGTTTGAGCCCAGTAGTTCAAGGAAAGCCTAGGCAATGTATTGAGAGTTTTATCCCAAATAAATAAATGAGTAATAATAAAGGTTAGTCTTTAGTGAACATGAATGGTAAAATACTTATATTACTGTCACTTATGCTTTGAAAGAATACTAAATAATCTCAACTTTTATTTTAAAATGCTTTAAAGTATTTCTTATTCATAAATAATGATAGTCTAGAACAGTGGTTCTCAACCTTCCTAATGCTGCAACACTTTAATACAGTTCCTCATGTTGTGGTAATCCCCAACCACAAAATTATTTTCATTGCTATACCATAACTGTAATGTTGTTACTGTTATGAATCATATTGTAAACATTTGCTATACAGGATATCTGATATGCAATTGCTGTGTAAGGGTGAGTTGACCCCCAAAGGGGTCATGACCCACAGGTTGAGAATCACTGGTCTATAGTAAAACTAAAAGCACTTGTTCTTCAGTCAGTGTTACCATTAGAGACTCTGCAGCTTACAGGCATGTGCCACTCACCCAAGTATTCAGTTCCATAGTAAGAATACATCAGTGGGAATGGTTTCCTCTTCTTTAGGGCATACTGCTTCCCAGAGTCCAGAATCGCCTGGCATATTGATTTAATTTGTGCTGGGGTCAGTACCTGAATAAAGAAATATCAAAAAGCAAAAGTCAAAGCGGGACCTCCATTTCTGTCCCCTCAGACATTAAATAACATACCTTTAAAGGACTATCATATATGTAACCATGCTTCATTCATGTTCTGCCACTGGTTCTCCTTCTTTTGATTCATCTACCCTCTTCCGAACATTTAAAATAGACACTTTTGCTCTGATAGGTCATTATAAAATGAAAAGACCACCATATACATGTTCTATCATTAATCCTTGTCATGGGGACAGGAATTTGCTCAGGAAAGAACAAATGGTGATGCTAATGGATCGTGCTTACCAAAGCTACTAGTCCTGACACAATACATGCTAGAGGTCTGGTTCCCAACATCAGGCCTCTAGGCTGTGCTTAGAAAGCCATGTCTCTACATCTCTACAGCAAGCTACTGCATGACAAATTTAGAGCAGCCACTTGCATTCCCACAATGAAAGCAAAGTCCAGTTGTGCCAAGACAAAATCACTTAAAAACCTCAAGGACACTTTCACACTTTGTTCAATCTTCGCATAATCAGTTTTAGGATTATGAAAGGAGATTAAAATGTTCCCAAGCCTCCAAAGCAAGAGGGAATTTGTTAATTATCTCCTCTGGTTTCCACCATGCTCTGTGTCCTGTCTTCCCTCAGGGGTCAACTGGATGCTTCCTTTGGTTTGTTTCCTCTGTCACCAGGCTTCCTGTTATGATGAAACACTTACCCTCTTGCTGTCTTAGTTCTGTATCTTACTAGACTATCAGTTCCTTGAGAGCAAAGACTGTGACATCTCATCATTCTGAATCTCTGGTGCCTAACACAAAAACTGAGGTTGGGGAAGAGGGTAACAGAGTCCTCCTTCCTTTACTCCTATCTTCCATTCCTTCCCTCTTCCCCTTCTTTTCACAATCATTTCTTAAGTGTGTATTCCATTTCATGTAAGCTTATTGTAGGTGCTGGCACTAAGACAATAAATATGATAGACATGACATTTGCTTTGAGGACACCAAGCTTATCAAAAGGCAAATATTAATAGAAAACTACTGGTTAGGTTGACCTGGAGCAAGTTACCTACAGTCAAGTTTGATTCAATAAATCTAGGGCCAAGAAAAAAAGAAAGAGAGAGAGAGAGAGAGAGAGAGAGAGAGAGAGAGAGAGAGAGAGAGAGAGAGAGAAAGAAATTTACAGTCCAGTCTGATTCAATAAATCTAGGACCAAGGAAGAAAGAAAGAAAGAAAGGAAGGAAGGAAGGAAGAAAGAAAGAAAGAAAGAAAGAAAGAAAGAAAGAAAGAAAGAAAGAAAGAAGAAAGACTCACTGAATTTTGAATTTTGGCCTCTCTCCTAAAGACCCATACATCTCATTTATCTGTATCTGTCATTAGATCGACCAATTATTTTTTTAAATAAAAACAATAATGATCTAAGCCATAAATTCCCTCTGCTTACCCAATATTAGGAAAATAAAGTACAATCCAGTTTCCGGGTTCCTCAAATCTAGAACTTACTTAGCAAAATAATTACTTAAAGAGGAAACCCTTGCTGAGTGTGGCACACATCCTGTAATACAAGCACTTGGGAGGCTAAGTCAGAAGAATCTCAAGTTCTAGGTTTACTTATATATTGGTGCCCCATTTCAAAATATATTTAAGAATAAAAGGGAAACTGTCTATTCATTAATTCACCAGTTAACACTTATTGGGTTACTATTCTAGCAAGGCCCCCACTAGGTATCATGGGGAGAGTCTTGAAAGCATGGGGCACATTTCTCCCTGTAAGGAATTTACTATCTGTTGATGGAGATGAGAGGTGGGCAACAGTTTATTAGATTCATGAACCTAGAGAGATGGAGAGAAACATGGATGACGAAGTGCTGCTCAGCTTCTCTAAGATTTTACTCTATCCCAGTTCCACTGGCTCAGAAATAATTACATCATGGCTTTGCATCTCAATGTTCCTTTACTAGCTACCTGTCTTTGTCTCTCTCTTTTCTTCCTACCCATGAAAACCCCATCTTCCTGTGTATCATCACTGTCCCATCCAGCTAGACATGGGTCTTTCCGAAGGCTAACAGCATATTTCTCCTAAATGATTTTCTGACTCAAAGTTGTAGGCCCCCAAATTCATGTGCCATATGAAAACACTTTCTTTAGTAAGAGCAACTGATTTGACACTGAATCTTAACATTTAATGTCTTACAGCACTAATCTCAAATCCTGTTTTTTTTTTCAGAAACTTGCTAAGATCCTTGAAGGGTTTGAACCTAATACAATTTTATCCTGGTTCTATACTCCTTCTAATTTCCTAGGAATGTCTTGCTCCTTGGCTATCCGCAGGTCTTATCTGTCCTGTGTGGATTCTGTCTGAGTCCACATGACAGACAATTTTTTGTGGTAGAAAATGGCCACCGAATTATTAAATTACAACAATTGTCCTATTTGCTTTTCATATTCAGAACTGAAAACTGTCTGAATCATTCCTCAGTTGAACATGTAACCTTATTGTCCTGTTTGTTTGGAAGTCAGAAAAAAATCAGCTTGTCCTGTGTGCGGTGCCCTCCCCCATTCTTTTCATCCTACCGTTCAAAATAGGGAACGAATTTATGAACTACTCTCTCAAAACCTCGCCTGGTCATGCATCGTGTCTGGGCGGTTTCTTCTTATCTCATAGAAACACCGTGAAAAACAAAGAGAACACTGGGGCTGCTTGTTCAGCTGGATAGAGGGTAGTTATGTGTGCAGTTCTTTATCTCTGGGAACAGACAAGACCTACCCTTGAGTTTATTGATTGGCAAATACAAACTGAAAAGAGTTCTCCCTAAAAGTCTGTGCTCAAGAAGGAATATCGAGAAAGAACATACCTTCTTTCCCCTCCCCCCAGCAAACAGTACAGAACAAAAGTGTGGGGGTGAGTTTTAGGGGTAAGGGCTGGGTTTTGTTCTCTCTCTCTCTCTCTCTCTCTCTCTCTCTCTCTCTCTCTCTGTCATATGTCAGCTTTCTCAAACAGGCCTTTATTTCCTGTTGTAAGCACTCAGGAAGGTGAATGAGCATGTGCAATCCCTCCGAGGAGATGCCCTCAGGGTACACTCAGATATCCTGGACCGAGAAAGCAGCTTTTCCAATGTGGAAAGGGACAGGAAGCTGCTACAGAGGAGCTCCCTGTCCATCAGACCCTTACTAAAACAAATCTGATACCTTCTCCTGTGTTCTTAACACCAAAGGATTAATGCTGTGTTGATACTTCAGATTAATTAGTTTTTTTTAACCTCCTCTGCCTACGCTGAATTAAAATAAAGATATCTCAAAAATGCAGAAGCAGGTCTGTGGTGGATTGCTTTAAACAGTTTCTTTAGTTAGCTGGTTCCCTTCACTGACCCTGTAACATATTCTTATTAGGCTGGCCTCTGAGTATGAAGAGATGAAAGAGCAATAAAATAAATGGTATGTTTCTTTGTCCTGACTGAAGGCTATGACTGAACCACATCCGTACAGAGATGACCTTCATTAAGGAAATGAATAAAATGAACTAGGCAGCAAGATGCTTGCCCCACACTACAGACTCAGTCCTGGCACACAGCGCTCATGAAAGAGCAATCTTTGCTAGCTATATGTCTTTGTCTGGGCATCAGACACCATTGGCAATAACTAGGTTTTCAGATGGTAGCAATGAAATCCTAGGTCTATCAGCATGCTAAGACATTCTGTGCCATTAAATTTCTCTTTGTCACAATTCAAAATGCATATTCTAAAAGAAATGAAACTATCGGCAATCACAGTTGATGCTAAGAGCAGGTCAGGTGGTAGGGATAGACCTATGCATGGCTAAAACTTAGGAGAGAACATGCAGGAGCTATGGGGAAGAAAGGTTGAGTAGCCACCCCAAACCTACAGTGAAAGGAAGCTAGGGCAGATATACCAGAAGAACAATTGTGTGGAAAGGAACTTAGAGAAAGGTAGCTGGTCCCCATAGCTCTTAATTAGTGACAGTTTAGGGAAATCCCCTTTAGGGCTTCCTGCCAAGTTTTTATATAACACAGGCTCTCATCCATCCTCCCAACTTGAGTTATTTTAGAGATCCCCAGGCTCTCTTCCCCCCAGCAACCCTAACTGGATTAGCATAGATATAAAGCCAAAGCTTTCTCTATTTACATCTCCATTCTCCACATAAACATATCAACTAGGCTACTTGCCAGTCTAAATCTTCTCAGGCAACAGTAATAAGGATGCTTGAATCTAAGTCACACCATAGAGATTTCAGTCTTGGCCACTGTCAAAGCTCAATGTAAACATCTGAGATCTCGGATGCATCTGTTCCTCAAACTGTGGTCTGTGGACCAGAAGTCTTGCCACCATCTAAGAACCTTTAGAAAGGTTCCACAGAATTAGAAACTGAATTTTCAATTTTTTTTTCTTTTTTGTTTTTTTGAGATAGGGTTTCTCTGTGTAACGCCCCTGGTTGTCCTGGCACTCGCTCTGTAGACCAGCCTGGCCTGGAACTCACAGAGATTCTCCTGATTCTACCTCCGAAGTGCTGGGATTAAAGGTTTCCATCACTGGCCAGCCCAGAAACTGAATTTTAACAAGATCACCAGGTGGCATGAACTCATATTAAGGCTTGAGAAGCACTGACTTCTCAAGACATCTGTGAATGCTTCAAAGTCCCTGATATTAGATGAAGGCCTGATGATGCTGCATATTTACATTACATAAATCGGACTTACCATATTTTAAAAACACTTTTACATTTTTATTTATTTTTAATTTTATGTATATGAATGTGTACCTGAATATATATCTATGATTCACCACGTGCATGCAGAGCCCAAGCTGGCCAGAATAGAGATGGCATCACCCTAGAACTGGAGTCACAGACTCCAGCTGTGAGTTGCCATATGGGTGCTGGGAATTAAAGCCTGGTTCTTTGGAAGAGTAGCCAGTTCTCTTAAGCACTAAGCCATCTCACCAGCCCCTAGGACACCCCTCCAGTCCCTGCAACTGTAACTGCC